TCCAAAAGGCAACTGGACTTTCTTGGGGGGCTTTCCCCCCCCCTTTGCAAACGTTTCCCTTCTCATCCAAGAACTAAATAAACTTTTTTGAAAGCGAAGCGAAAGATTTTCAGAGGAAAAAAACCAAGGGAGTCCGGTTGTCTTTTGGAAAAATGCACCTTTGGGGGACGACCGTGGCCTGGGAATCTCCATGGACCCAGGCTGGGAATTGTTGCATGCACGCTGGTTCTCTCGCTGCTGCTGAAACCTCCGTGTTGGGTTAACTGGTTCCGCAAGGGCTCCTTAGCGCCACCCCCCCCCCCAGCCACCAAGGAGCTTTTCTTGACTTAATTGGCCTGGGGGGGGGGAGAGAGCCTGCATGTGATACTAGGGGGAGGCTGTTCGGATCAGCAAGCGTCCCTGCGGGCCTCTTGGGAAGGGAGCCAGGTGCTGTGGCTGCATAGCTAGGTACTTCCTCTTCAGCCTGAGGGACAGTTGCTGCTGGATCTTAACAGAATAACCAAGTTGGAAGAGACCTTGGAGGTCTTCTAGACCAGGGGTAGGCAACCCAAAACACTCAAAGAGCCACTTGGACCCGTTTCCCACCAAAAACAAAACACCGGGAGCCACAAAACCCTTTTGATATCTAAAATGAAGATAACACTGCATATATCCTTTTTTACCTTTATTATAGGTGTGTGTGTGTGTGTGTGTGTGTGTGTGTGTATACACACACACACACATTAAAAATAAAAATAAAAATATGACTCTTGGGAATATCCATACTATTAAAACAATGATCACCAAGAGAATGCTTTAAGAGAATAAAATTACATACACACACAGGTAAAAAAAGGATATATGCAGTGTTATCTTCATTTTAGATGTCAAAAGGGTCTCTTTCTCTCTGTCTCCCTCTCCCTCCCTCTCTATCTGCCCTTGGTCTGCCCCCCACTCTCTTTCTCTCTCTCTCCTCTCTCTCCCTCTCTCTCCTCTCTTTCTCCCCCCTCCTATCTGCTGCTCACCTGGCAAGCTTCAAGCTGTTGTCCAACAAGCTCAGGGGTAAGCAACCTCGTCTCTTTTATGGCTCATGGACTTCAACTCCCAGAATTCCTGAGTCAGCCTAGCTGGGCTAGCTAGCTCTCTCCTGCCCTTCCTGCTTCCTGCAGAGACGCAGCAAAGGGAGGAGCTCCGCCCAATAAGCTTTTCAGCTCCTCGGAGAACACTGTGAGTGTGCTCTCTTTTACACACACACACACACACACACACAGAGAGAGAGAGAAAGAAAAGCAGGGAAGCGCAATTGCCTCTCTCTGTCTCTGTCTCTCTCTGCAAAGGCAGAGGAGGCTGGGAGCCACAGGGGAAGGCTCAAAGAGCTGCATGTGGCTCTGGAGCCGCAGGTTGCCGACCTGTGTTCTAGTCCAACCCCTTGCTCCAGCAGGAGACCTTATACCAGGCCTAGGCAACCTGGGCTCTTTTATGACTGGTGGACTTCAACTCCCAGAATTCCTGAGCCAACATAGCTCAGCATGGAAACCTCTCCCTTTCCCCTCAGCGTGGCTGGCTCAGGAATTCTGGGAGTTGAAGTCCATGAGTCTTAAAAGAGCCAAGGTTGCCTACCCCTGGCCTAGACCATTTCATACAAATGGCTGTCCAGTCTCTCTCTCTCTCTCTCTCTCTCTTTTTTTGAAAATATTTTATTAGGTTTTATAGAGGTAGAGGGAAGGGAGGGTCAACAAAACGTCTGGTGATGGAGCGCCCACAACTTCCGAAGGCAACTTCTGTTTCATTGATTAATTGTTGTAACTGTCAGAAAATTCCTCCTTAGTTCCAGGTTGCTTCTCTCCTTGATTTATTTCCATCCTTTGCTTCTTGTCCTGCCTTCTGGTGCTTTGGAGAATAAGTGGACCCCCCTCTTCTTTGGGGCAGCCCCTCAGATATTGAAAGACTGCTGTCATGTCACGCCTAGTCCTTCTTTTCATTGGTTTAGATCAGGGGTGGGGAACCTTGGCTCTTTTATGACTTGTGGACTTCAACTCCCAGAATGCACCCCTGGTCTAAACTTTCCCAATTCCTGCAATTGTTATAATAATAATGGTAGTAGTAGTAATAGTAGTAGTAGTAATAATAATAATAACAGTAGTAGTAGTAATGTGCTGGAGAAGACTCCTACGAGTCCCTTGGACTGCAAGGCGTTCAAACCGGTCAGTCCTAGAAGAGATCAACCCCGACTGCTCTTGAGAAGGCCAGATCCTGAAGTGGAAACTCAAGTCCTTTGGCCACCTAATGAGAAGGAAGGACTCACTGCAGAAGGGACTAATGCTGGGAAAGATGGAGGGCAAGAGAAGAAGGGGACAACAGAGAATGAGATGGCTGGATGGAGTCCCTGAAGCAGTAGGTGTGAGCTTCAGTGGACTCCAGAAGATGGTAGAGGACAGGAAGACCTGGAGAAACGTTGTCCATGGAGTCGCGATGGGTTGGACACAACTTCGCAATTAACAAGTAGTAGTAGTAGTAGTAGTAGTAGTAGTAGTAGTAGTAGTAGTAGTAGTAATAATAATAATATAAAATAGAGTTGGAAGGGACCTTGGAGGTCATCTACTCCAACCCCGTGCTCAGGCAGGAAACCCTACACCATTTCGGACAAATGGCTGTCCAGTCTCCTCTTAAAAACTTCCAGTGTTGGAGCATTTACTGCTTCTGGAGGCAAGGAGTTCCCCTGGTTAATTGTTCTCACTATCAGGAAGTTTCTCCTTATTTCTAGGTTGCTTCTCTCCTTGATTAGTTTCCATCCGTTGCTTCTTGTCCTGCCTTGAGGCGCCTTGGAGAATAGCTTGACTCCCTCTTCTTTGGGGCAACCCCTGAGATACTGGAAGGCTGCTATCCTGTCCTCCCTCGTCCTTCTCTGCATTAAACTAGACATTCCCAATTCCAGCAACCGTTCCTCGTATGTTTTAGCCTCCAGTCCCCTGATCCTCTTTGTTGCTCTTCTCTGCACTCTTTCCAGAGTCTCAGCATCTTCTTTACATCGTGGTGACCAAAACTGGACGGGGCATCCCAAGTGTGGTCTCCTCTGAAGAAGAGGCACCAAGGAGAGAGACCCCAAGAGGGAAACGGGCAGCCGGGCTCCAGCTTGGAAGAGATGGGGGGGGGTCCTCTCCTCCTCCTTCCTGACAGATGCACTCAAGGGTCTTCCCAGGGAGGCAGATCTGGGAACCCCGGAGAGCTGCCCTCAGCTGATGTCCCAGTGCTTGTTACTGGAGCCTTTAGTCCTCCTCTCTTCCCTGACCTTCCCTTTCCAAGCAACCCCAAATCCGAGGGGAGTTTTGTCTTTCTCGGACCTCTGAGCCCTTGCCTCTGTTCTCGGGGAAGGCCGGTTCCTCCTGTTTTAGTTCAGCTGTTGCAGGAAGCCCCAGGCCATGGAAGGAAGAGATGCTGGTGGGTGCCTCCCGTGGTTTCCCTGGGCTTCTGGTGCAGTGTTTCTGCCCTCTGAGCACGTTTAACAGGTGTGGACTTCAACTCCCAGAATCCCCCAGCCAGCGCATGCTGGCTGGGGGATTCTGGGAGTTGAAGTCCACACCTGTTAAACGTGCTCAGAGGGCAGAAACACCGTTTTAGTGCTTGCCTTGTAAGCCAAGCCTCCTTTTTATTTTTAAAAAATTTACTTGAATGTTCAATGCATATCATACTTTCTATACATTATATATAAAACTAAAAAAAAGAGAGAAAAATACCTTTAAAATAAGACCTTAGGTGTCACTCGTCTATCTCCCCCCGACTGCATCCGCCCTCTCAACCTTCCTTCCTTCCTTCCTTCCTTCCTTCCTTCCTTCCTTCCTTCCTTCCTTCCTTCCTTCCTTCCTTCCTTCCTTCCTCTCTCCTCCTCTCTCCCCTCACCCCTTCCTCCCATCCAACTTCCTTCCTTCCCTCCTCCTCCCCTCTTATCCCTCTTCGGATACAGTTCAGGGGAAACACCTGAGCGGCACCTCCCTCTAAATTACTCCATCTATTTCATACTTTAATATTTCTATATATACTTAATCCCACCCCACCCCACTTCCCAGAGCAAAATACAGGGTTATTATAAACAAAACAAACACAATAAAACAACAACAAAATTCTATACAATAAACAAATTCATACATTACCCTTAACTCTCTCTAAACTTATAATAATAATAATAATAATAATAAAACCAGACAAACACCTGCAACATAACACCCCAGACTTAACAATTGTCGATAAGAAAGACAAAAAAGTCTGGATAGTGGACATGGCAGTGCCTGGAGATAGCAGAATAGAAGAGAAAGAACTGGAGAAGATAACAAAATACAAAGACCTACAAATAGAAATAGAAAGACTGTGGCAAAAGCAAGCAAGGGTAGTACCAATAGTCATAGGCTCCTTGGGTGCAATCCCAAAACAACTGGAGCACCACTTGAACACCATTGGCATTGACAAATTCGCTATTAGTCAATTGCAAAAGGCGGCCTTATTAGGAACTGCTTCCATCCTGCGACGATACCTGTAATACCATCAAACATCCACATCTGCCTATCCCAGGTCCTGGGTAAGGACTCGATAGGTAGACAAAATGCCAAATCCAGTCTGAACATCTGGCTGACTGTGCGATGATCGATAATAACATAAACAAATCTACTATAAATTAAATATTATAAAAATCTATAAATAGTAATTATAACCTCAAGAAAAAATTAAATCATAAAATAAATGGAACTTTAAAGTTCCGTATTTATTCTGAATATAATCTATCCGCCTTCTCCACACTATAATAAATTTTTCTTGTGTATGGTCCTTTAAATAAGCTGAATTTTTTGCCATTTCCGCTAAAGTGGAAACCTTAAGTGTCCATTCTTCTAAGGTAGGCAGTAAGCCAAGTCTCTTGTGGGGCTTTCCTCCTAGCGACCCCCCCCCGCCGGGTCCCCTTTCTCTTTTAGGGGAGGGCCAGCCTCGTTCTGCCTTTTTTTCGTGCAGCTGATTGACCTGCTTGCTTCTTCCAGAGCGACTGCGGTGCTGATCGCCACCCTGGGACAGCCATGTCGGGCCCGGTACCGAGTCGAGCAAGAGTCTACACGGACGTCAACACCCAGAGGCCTCGCGAATATTGGGACTACGAGTCCCATGTGGTGGAGTGGGGGTAGGTGACGCTGGAGTCCGCAGAAGCTTGGCAGGCTGCTGCCCCCTTCCCCCCCACCCCTTTGGGACCCTGAAGGGACAAGCTTCTTTTTTTTTCTTGAGTTTGTGGTGGTCTGCTTGCCTGGCGGGCCTCTCGGGGGCTACAAAACCGGCTGAAAAGACTTGCCAAGGCAGAGAGGAAGGAAGGAGGCTGAACCCTCATAATTTTGGAGCTGGAAGGTGGCCAGGCTGCCATCAGAAGAAGCCCTGTGAAGCGGTCCTGTCTTTGCCACCCTGGCAGGGCAGGCGGTTCAGAATAATTCCTGGCCACGGCGTTGATATCCTTGTCCAGTGGTTCTCAACCTGTGGGTCGGGACCCCGTTTGGGGTCGAATGACTATTTCATGGGGGTCGCCAAACAACGCAGTCCACCATTTTTTTCCCCCTTTTCCTTAGCTGTGCTCCTCCCTTTTATTCTGTTGGCTTTTGAAAGCCAATAGAATAGACTCTCTTGAATAGAGTCTAATTCTATTGGCTTTCCAAAGCCAATAGGAATGGTCCAGGCTGTCTCTGCCCTGCTCAGCCCGCCAAAAGTCCCATTCTGCAAATGGTGCTGCACCAGTTGAGTAGTCCTCGACTTACGACCGGTTGAGTAGTCCTCGACTTACGACCGGTTGGGGGTCGCGGCATTAAAAAGGTTGAGAACCACTGTCCTTGTCGACGCCAGTGGCGAAGGCTCCTCCGTGGCCAGAGAAGCCCACAGGATTGGGCTGGGGGCTGGGGGGGACAAGGTGGGTGGGAAGGGACACCCCCCCAGGGAGCTCATTAGGGTGTGCAGGTCTTCATCGGGAGACAGACAAGCCGCAAGGCCTCCTGAGTGCAGAGAGTGAGGGCCACCCAGGGCTCCTGCTGCCGTTTGGCCACGTTTTCAGTCCTTTTAACTTTGGGGAAGACAGAAAAGTTCACCACACAGGTAGTCCTCGACTTAACGACCAAAACGGAGCCCAAGACTTCCACCGCCAAACAAGAGAGTCGTTTTGCCTCGTCTTGCGACCTTTCTTGCGGCGATTGTTAAGTGAATCAGTGCAGTTTGTTCAGTCAGTGGCACGGTTGTTAAGCGAATCCGGCTTCCCTGCTGACTTTGCTTATCAGAAAGTTGTGACCCCGGGGACGCTGCCACCGTCGTAAATACGAGCCAGTGGCCCCAGTATCCGAATTTTGGTCACGTGATCCTGGGGATGCTGCCACGGTTGTAAGTCTGCGAAATGAGTCCCTTTTTCAGTGCCGTCGTAACTTTGAACGGTCACTAACCGAATGGCTGCAATTTGGGGACTACCTGCCCTTATGCAATAAAATGCAGATGTTTCCTAGCCCGGCTAGGTAACAGCTTCAGTGCTAGAAGGGTTCAGAGTTAAAGGGGCCACCCCCCTCTCCTCCCTTCTAGCACTGATGATGTTACCTAGCTGGGTCATGAAACGTCTGCCAGAAAACAACCCAGCTCGGAGGGCGCCCAGGACCCGTCCTTGTGCTTTTTCAGCTGAATGTGGCTCAAGGGGTTCTTGCAGATACAATCGGGGCACCCTGAATTCCACTCTAAAGGCCCAGAGCGATTCTCATGCCAAAGGCAACTGGCGTCTCTCTGGCTCCACTGGAAAAGAAACTGAAGGGAAAGCCGTGGCAACTTGGGAGGGAACAGCACAGAAAAGTTGCTAAAAAAATACAGAGAAGGCAGGCTGAGCCCCCCCCCCCCGGTGATCTGGTGGAGCCTGGACCAGCACAAGGGGCAGGGGGGCAGCCGTGCCAGAGACCTTGCCTCCCAGACAGTGACCCCTCTGGCGGCTGAATTTCCTTCTCTCTCTCTCTCTCTCTCTCTCTCTCCCTCTCTCCCTTTCCCTCTCTCCCTCTCTCTCCCTTTCCCTCTCTCCCTCTCTCTCCCTTTCCCTCTCTCCCTCTCTCTCCCTCCCTCCCTCTCTCCCTTTCCCTCTCCCTCTCTTTCCCTCCCTCCCTCTCTCCCTTTCCCTCTCCCTCTCTTTCCCTCCCTCCCTCTCTCCCTTTCCCTCTCTCCCTCTCTCTCTCTCCCTATCTCTCTCTGTATCGTTCTCTCTCTCTGTATCTCCCTCCCTCCATCCCTTTATTTCAACAGTAACCAAGATGACTACCAACTTGTGCGGAAACTCGGTCGTGGCAAATACAGCGAAGTCTTTGAAGCCATCAACATCACCAACAACGAGAAAGTGGTGGTGAAAATCCTCAAGGTGGGTCAGTCGGCATCTTCCCGTTTAGTGGGGACCTTCCAGGGCAGGGGACATCCCTTCACCCAGGCCACGGGTGGGGTGGATTCAGGGTTCGAGTCTCACCTTCGCTCCCGAATGGGGTTGATCATAACAGCACTGCTGCCAAGAGCAGAAGAGAATGGCAGAATGACAGAGCTGGAAGGGGCCTCAGAGGTCATCTAGTCCAGCTCCCTTCTCAGTCAGGAAGCCCTCTGCTATTTCAGACAAGCAACTGTCCAGTCTCTGCTTGAAAACTTCCAGTGTTGGAGCACCCACAACGTCTGAAGGCAACTTCTGTCCCACTGATTAATTGATCTGGGATTATAGAATGAAGAGCTGGAGGGGACCTTAGAGGTCATCTAGTCCAACCCACTGGTCAGGCACGGAACCCTATGCCACATCAGATTGAGTGGCTCTCCAGTCTCTCCTTGAAAGCCTCCAGTGTTTGTCCAGCAGCCACAACCTGGAGGTTTTCAAAAGAGACTGGACAAACAAGAGTTACCAGAAGCGAGCGAAAGTTTCAAGCCAGCTTGGGCATCTGCTGCGAAAAGGCAGCCCGCCTTCCGGCTACATCTTGCATAACGTTTTCCTGCTTGTGGTCTGGTTTAAATGGCTTTTGATTGGTTTGGGAGTAGGGTTTAAGAGCAGGTGTAATTGCACGCTGGCCAGGGTCCGTTTTGAGTGAGGTGGGCACTCCTGTCAATTTGCCAAATGAGTAAAACAGCTCTGCAGTGTCTTGACTCAAGCTGGCCCCGCTCTGCCCGTTCCAGGGGTTGCAGAGCTACTGCCTGTGTGTGTGTGTGGGGGGGGGGAAGTGTGGGTGAGAAAGGAAAGCAGGAGGATGCCATCCCAATCCCTCCCCCAAGTGCCTGGGCTGCAGTGTCTGAGCAGAGCCACAAGCCTGGGTGGGGTGTGTGTGTGTGGCAGTGTGTGCCCCGCCAGGCAGGCGAAGGCCGTCCCAGGCCGAGAGACCCCGCAGCCCGGAGGTTACTGCACGCCTTCTTTCTTTTCAGCCAGTAAAAAAAAAGAAAATAAAGCGTGAAATTAAAATCCTGGAAAACCTGCGGGGAGGACCTAACATCATCAACCTTCTAGACATCGTCAAGGACCCCGTGGTAAGCGGGGGTGGGGTGGGGGGAGGCGGGGGACTGCTGGGAGCTGCTTCCCAGGCAGTGGAGGCCCAGTCCCGCCAGGCACAGGGCTGCTTCCGTGTCTGTGTCTGTTGGGTAAGCGGGGAGGCTGAACCTGCACCTTAGAGAATACCAGAGCAGGAAGGGACCTTGGGGGTCTTCTGGTCCAACCCCCCTGCTCAAGCAGGAGACCCTATAGACCAGGGGTAGGCAACCTGGGCTCTTTTATGACTCATGGACTTCAACTCCCAGAATTCCTGAGCCAGCCATGCTGAGGGGAAAGGGAGAGGTTTCCAAGCTGAGCCAGGCTGGCCTCAGGAATTCTGGGAGTTGAAGTCCACCAGTCATGAAGGGGCCAAAGTTTCCCTCATGCTGGCTCAGGAATTCTGGAAGTTGAAGTCCACGAGTCATAAAGCGGCCTAGGCCTAGGCCAGAGGTAGGCAACCTTGGCTCTTTGATAACTCGTGGACTTCAACTCCCAGAATTCCTGAGCCAGCATGGAGGAACTATGGCCCTTTTATGACTGGTGGACTTCAATTCCCAGAATTCCTGAGCCAGCCATGCTGAGGGGAAAGGGAGAGGTTTCCAAGCTGAGCCATGCTGGCTCAGGAATTCTGGGAGTTGAAGTCCACCAGTCATAAAAGAGCCACGGTGGCCTACCCCCGGCCTAGACCATTCCAGACCAACTTGCTTGATCTGTTGTGGCTTGCTGTGCCTCTTCCTACTCCCTGGCACAGGTAAGTCCTCGGCTTACGACCACGATTGATTGAGCCCCAGAATTTCTCTCGCTGAGCAAAACAGTTGTTAAGTGTCCCATTTTACGACCTTCCTTGCCACTGTTGCTGAGGCAATTGCAGTTCTCAACAACATGGTTGTTGTATGTTGTATGAATCTGGCTTCCCCATGGCCTTGGCTGGTCAGGAGTGGATCGCGTGACCACGTCCTCCCCCCCCCCGGGCACTGCGACCCTCCTCGGTACCTGCCGGTGGCCGAGCATCTGAATTCTGACCATGTGACTGGTGGGGGTGCTGCAACGGTCGTTAAGTGCGAAAGGTCGTAGGCCCCTTTTGTTCAGCACCGTTGTAACTTCAAACCGTCACTAAATGAACTGGTGAAGTCGAGGACTGCCTGTATAGGAGGGAGGGGGGAGAAAGCGCTAAGGGATGCTGTTCTCTTGCTCCGGCCACCGGGCCTTGGCTCGTCCCCCTTTCCCCCCCCTGACCCAACTCAGACTGCCCCAGCCTTACTTCCAAGGCCCCCAAAGGGTCCGGGGTCCAAGACTTCCCTGGGCTGCCCCACAGAAGAACCTCGATCGCCCCAGTTAAGGGAGGGGGCAGCAAGAAGGGAGCACTGGCTCAACCTCTTTGGCCTCTTTTCTCCCCACTCTTCCCCCTCGGCCTCTGAACCACCCGGCGCTGCAGTCTCGGACCCCCGCCCTGGTTTTCGAGCATGTCAACAACACGGATTTCAAGGTGAGGAAAGGCCCCGGGGAGCATGTACGTCACCGGCTCTGGGCCCTGGACTTCAACTCCCAGGATTCCCCAGCCAGACTGCCCTCCGAAGGTTGTCACGGATGAGAAACGGGGGCCAGGAGGGCGGCTGGGAGCCGGTTCTGCGCCTTCGTTGTCTCCTGAGCTGGGAGGGTGGGAGGGCTGCAGGAATTCTGGAGCTGGCCCAGAGAATCCTACTGATCACACTGGTCTGAACTGGCCTCCCTTTCCTTTTTCTCCTCCAGTTCCTGTACTGAGTCTCAGGCCTATGCAATGGTAGAGGGAGAGCAGAGCGAGGGGAGGGAGGGAGGGAGGAAGGAAGGAAGGAAGGAAGGAGAGGAGAGGAGGCGGTCCTGGGCGGGAGGCCGGTGGAAGAGAGATGGGGGCCCTTAGCAGACTCTGAGTCCCTGAGGAGGGGGACACCCCAGTAGACCAAAGCAGGCCTGTGGGTGACTTCCTCTCGATGATTTCTAGTCCCTTCCAGCCCTTGGAGTCTATGGTTCCCGTTGCCCAGCTTGATGAGAGCAGGGCCAGTGGGGGGGAAAGTCCTCCAGGTTGGAGCTTTGCAGGTGCAGACGTTCGCTCTTGACCCTAAAACTTCCTGGGAACCGTCCTGAATCATCCCGAGTAGCCGGGGGAGATCTTCTGGCCCAGTTTTCACGCTCAGTGGCCCTTCACGTAGCCGAGGGAGAGAGAGCCTTGCTCTTAAAAGGAACATCCTGAGCAAGGAGAAGGATTTGCTAACCGTCGTCTCCCCCCCCCCCTTTTCCCCTTACAGCAATTGTATCAGACGCTTTCAGATTTTGATATTCGATTCTACATGTATGAAATCTTGAAGGTAAGAATCGGGCGGGCAACTCCGGGGCAAAGCCGGGGCGCAGGAGAGGCTGAGGGCTGGGCAGGAAGTTTACCTCTCCTACCTGGGCGGTCCAGATCCTTACCCCAGGAGTGCAAGATTGGCTTGGGGAATAGCCAGGAAGCGTGAGTTGGCCCCGTGGGGTCTACGGTGCCCGGTCCTGCGTTCACAAAGAGGCCGGGAACTCAGTTAAGGAAAGCGGAAGACTCCTATTCAGCCCTTGGCAGTGCCAGCTAAGCGGTGAGGGGTGTGGAACAGGCTTGGAAGAGCTGCCCCCCCCCCGCGCGTGCGAGAGGAGAGGGTAGCTGCTAACTTTATCAGCCAGCTTGGTGTGTTGGTGACATCTGAGCTGTGTTTACAGTGGGTTTAACTGGGACAAAGGGACCTGTCAGTACAAGTGCAAAAGGCGAAGCCCAGTCAGCACTGCGGTTAGGAAAGTGAATTCTAGCCCTAGAGCAGGGTGGGGGAGGAGGGAGGGAACCATGGCCCCTGGGTGACTTGGTGGAATTCAAGTGTCAGAATTCCTGAGGGTGGCTGTTGCAGGAATTCTGGGAGTTGAAGTCCACAAGTCATCAAAGGGGGCATGGTCCCCCACACCTGCCCTAGAGGCTCTTCTCTCTTTCCTCCTCTCCTCCTCTTCTCTTTCCTCCTCTCCTCTCCTCCTCTCCTCTCCTCTTTCTTCTTTCCTCTCCTCTCCTCTCTTGCCTCCTCTCCCCTCCCCTCTCTCCTCTCTCCCCTCTCCTCTCTTCCCTTTCCCTTCTCCTCTCCTCTCCTCTCTTCTCTTTCCTCCTCTCTCCTCCCCTCTCCTCTCCTCTCCTCTTTCTTCTTTCCTCTCCCCTCCTCTCTCCTCTCTTGCCTCCTCTCTCCTTTCCCCTCCCCTCTCTCCTCTCCTCTCTCTCCTCTCTTCTCTTTCCTCCTCTCCTCTCTCCCCCTCCTCCTCTCTTCTCTTTCCTTCCCTTCTCCTCTCCTCTCCTCTCTTTCCTCCTCTCCTCTCTCCCCCTCCTCTCCTCTCCTCTCTTCTCTTTCCTTTCCCTTCTCCTCTCCTCTCTTCTCTTTCCTCCTCTCTCCTCCCCTCTCCTCTCTTTCCTCCTCTCTCCTCTCTCCTCTCCTCTCTCTCCTCTCCTCTCCTCTCTTGCCTCCTCTCCTCTCTCCCCCTCCTCTCTCCTCCCCTCTCCTCTCTTCTTTTCTCTTTCCTCCTCTCCCTCCCCTCTCTTTTCCCTGCCCTTCCCTTCCCAACTTTCCCTGGTCAGTCATGCAATTTGGCTAAGATGGAGCTATTCCAGAAACTTGATTTTACTTGTCTCTTTACACACACACACACACACACACACACACACACACACACACACACACACACACCCCCCTCTCCCTTGGGCAGCTGGTATTTACTTGCATGGCGGCTTGTGCTTCATTGAAGATGAAATCTACCTTCTGACACCACCTGGGGTCACCCAGCTGCCTTGCAGACTGGGCTGGGTCCTCCCAAATTCTGTGAAAAGTCTCAGGGGCTTTAGCTGCTAGGAAGAAAAAAAAAACCTGTTAAAATGTGAGCAGATGTGTTTAAGGCAGATTACTTTCTGAAGCTTTGTAAAAAAGGAATTTGGCACAGGATAGAAGAACCTTTATTTAATAAATTGATTTCTCCCCCCCCCAAAAAAAAATCTGGCTGAATGCAACTCCGGGCGACGTGCAACCAGCACTTAAACCCCCCCTGTCAGCTTTTTAAAAATAACCTTTGAAATATAAATAAAAGCAACATTGCAGGAGAAGAGTCTCCCGTCTAAACACAACGTAGCTCCGTGGCATCCATCGAGGTTGCTGGAAAAGCCACACTTGGGGGGCTGGCCTGGCTGGGGCTAAATTCGCCCTTGGGGGAGAGGGGGAGGACATTTCAGAGGGCAGCAGCCCCAGCAGAAAAACTGCACGGTCAGGTCAGGCAGAACTCTTTAGCAGACCGGACCCACAGCCGATTCCTCCTTCCAGACCTGAGCAGAGGGCGTCCCTGGGTAGATGCGGCCCCTCCGATAGCGAGTCTGGCCAGCCTGGCCTTCTCTCTGGAAGACGGGATCTTTCTGTCCCCGAGCTGTGATTGGTTCTCCTTCGGCAGGCTTGGAAGATCCCCTTGACAAGCCAGGCCAGGGATTCACTTGCCCTGTTACAGGCCGGAGTCTCCTCAATCCAGGTGTGGACAACCTTGGGTCTTTTATGACTCGTGGACTTCAACTCCCAGAATTCCTGAGCCAGCCATGCTGAGGGGACAGGGAGAGGTTTCCAAGCTGAGCCAGGCTGGCTCAGGAATTCTGGGAGTTGAAGTCCACGAGTCATGAAGGGGCCAAGGTTGAGGACCCCTGATATAGGGAAGGGGTAGGCAACCTTGGTTCTTTTATGACGCATGGACTTCAACTCCCAGAATTCCTAAGCCAGCCATGCTGAGGGGAAAGGGAGAGGTTTCCAAGCTGAGCCATGCTGGCTCAGGAATTCTGGGACTTGAAGTCCATGATTCATAAGGCGGCCTAGGCCTAGGCCAGAGGTAGGCAACCTTGGCTCTTTTATGACTGGTGGACTTCAAATCCCAGAATTCCTGGACCAGCCCTGCTGAGGGGAAAGGGAGGGGTTTCAAGCTGAGCCATGCTGGCTCAGGAATTCTGGGAGTTGAAGTCCATCAGTCATAAAAGAGCCAAGGTTGCCTACCCCTGCCCCAACCTTTCCGCCTTTGCTGACCGGGGCAGGGGGGAGAGGGGGGATGGTTCCCTGCAAGTGGCAGGCAAGCGTGCGCGCCCATGCACAGTCCCGTTTGCGCAAGTGGTGGGCGAGCGTGCCTGCCGCTAATGCAAATGGAGCACACACGCGCGCTCTGCCACTGCTCATGCGAGGGGAGATGCGCACGCACTCACCCGCTGCTTCTGCGTCCCAGTTCCAAACAACTCACGGCCCGGTAGTGGGCCCGGGCCCCAGGGTCTGGAGACCCCCATTACAGGCTTTCTTGCTTGAACAGAGGAACGGATAGAAGACCTCCAAGATCCCTTATTCTGTTAAATATCTCTCCAGCTGTTCTGTTCTCTTGGGGACCAGCCCCCACCCTTTGCCCCCGACCCGGAGTCCTGAAACACAGCAAAAGATGGGAGCTGGCCTTTGCTTGGAGCTGTCTGCCTGGACAGCGGCAGAAACCATGTCGGGTCTTAGGCTACGCACTCATTTCTCTGCGGTGCCGATAAATGAGGATGTTGATAGCTCCAGGTTGTAAGTGGGCGCTCTCTGAGCTGGGTGGTTTTCTTGCAGATGTTTCATGACCCAACTAGGTAACATCATCAGTGGTAGAAGGGGGGGGGGTTGCAGAGAGGAAGGGGAGGAGGAGGAACAGGATTATGGGATCCTGAGTTGGCTTCTTTCCTTGCAGACGTTTCGTGACCCAGGTAACATCAGTGCTAGAAGATGGGGAGTAACGGAGGGGGAGGGGAAGCATAGCAGGGGTCCCCAACGTTGGCCACTTTAAGACCTGTGGACTTCAACTCCCAGAATTCCCCAGCCAGCGCATGCTGGCTGGGGAATTCTGGGAGTTGAAGTCCACAGGTCTTAAAGTGGCCAACGTTGGGGACCCCTGCTATAGAGTCCTTGGTGTTGTTTGAGCTTGGTTGCTTTCTTGCAGATGTTTCATGGCCCAAGCGAGTTGATCGCTGATGCTGTTACCTAGTTTGGGTCATGATGTTGTGGTTCCGGCTAATGAAACATTCCAAAGAACTTCCAGGCATTTATTTTCCTAAAAGTCTTTTATTGTTACAAAATGTCGGCACAGGGCACAAGGGAGGGATGCTAGGATCTAAGTTCTCTTCCTCTGAGCAGTTAAATTATCAGCATGTTCCCTCCCTAAATTAGCCCTCATATCTCACACTATCCAATTAGTGTGAAGGTCAAAGGTTTTCTTCCTCTTTCTTTCCCGGGCTTTACCCCCAACCCCCCTTCTGCTCTGTATTAACCCCATCATTACCAGACAATTCTACATATTGTCAAAAGCAAGAATATACAATATTTGCAGCGTTGACACATGAAATATCTGCAAGAAAAACCGCAATTACTAGAGCAGGGTGATCTTACCACCATCTGAAGCCCTGAGGTCCCTTGGCTGAAGCCCCCCAGAAAGTATCAGCGGCTTGGCCCGGCCGTTGGCCCACCTGGCAGGTCTCAAGTTTGCTTCTGGGTGTCCTCTGCTGGGGCAGAGTCCAGGGGTGGTCTCCTCTACTCTCTCTCGTCTCCCCAACCCTCACAGGCTCTGGATTACTGCCACAGCATGGGGGTCATGCACCGGGACGTCAAGCCACACAACGTGATGATCGACCACGAGCATCGGAAGGTGAGGCCACTGCCTTTGAGGCCGAAGTCCAGAGCGCAGCAGGGCGGGCAGCAGGCCCTGCGGGGCAGTGGTCGGCTGGCCTGGTCAGAAGCAAGGCCCAAGAGGAGAGCGGTTCATGGGAGCCTGGGGGAGGCTGTGGCCCAAGAGTCAGCCAGGGACGCCACTTCAGGCCTTCCTGAATCCTAACTCGCATCTCTGGCAGCTGGTGGTTTTGGCCAGCTCTGTGGCCTTGGTAGCTTCGGCCCTTGACCTGCTCTGACTGCCCAGGCCTTCTGTGGATCTGCAGCAGAGGGCCCCAACCTTGGCCACGTGAAGACTTGTGGACTTCAACTCCCAGGATTCCCCAGCCAGCTCAGCTGGCTGGGGGATTCTGGGAGTTGAAATCCACAGGTCCTTAAAGTGGCCTCAGTTGAACACCCTTGCATCAGACCATGTTGGCTGAGGAATTCTGGGAGTCAAAGTCCACAGGTTCTTAAAGTGGCCACAATTGAACACCTTTGTGTTAGACCAGGGCTCTTCCAACTTGGCCCTTTTCTGACTTGTGGACTTCAACTCCCAGAATCCCTCAGCCAGCCATGCTTTCGGTTCATGCAGTCTAGATCAGGGCTCTTCCAACTTGGCCCTTTTCTGACTTGTGGACATCAACTCCCAGAATCTCTCAGCCAGCCATGCTGGCTGAGGAATTCTGGGAGTTGAAGTCCACAAGCCATCAAAGAGCCACAGTGGAACACCTTTGCATTAGACCCTGCTGGCTGGGGAATTCTGGGAGTTGAAGTCCACAGGTCTTAAAGTGGCCACGGTTGGAGAGCCCCGATCTAAAGTGATCCCTTTCTGGGGGGGGGGGGAGGGAACCTTCTGGGACTTCTTTCTCCTGGAGCGATGAGTCCATGCCTTCCCAATTCAGCTCCGTGCTTCCCAGCCCTGGACCAGGCTAGCATCTGCTTCCAGATGCCGGTTTGTTGTCTCCTCTGCTCTTTGGAAAGGAACAAAGAGTTGGTGGTTCCTCCCTATAAAAATTGATTCAGTGCCCAGAAGCTTTTTTAAAAAAAATTTCAACTCCTTCCCCAATTCTCCGGCCTGCTGCAGCTGCGCCTGATCGACTGGGGACTGGCAGAATTCTACCACCCGGGACAAGAATATAACGTCAGAGTGGCTTCCCGGTACTTCAAGGGACCGGAGCTTTTGGTGGATTACCAGGTAAGCTGGCAACTCAGAAGGGGGGCTGCCTGGGGGGAGGAATAGGGAGGAGCTGCAGCCGAGGTGGGGGACAGATGCAGCCTCAGCTCTGCTCTTCCACCCCCCCCCCCGCCTGCCGTTCCCAATTGTTCCACTCTGTCGATGGGTTGGGAAAGACCTTGAGCCACTGGGCCACCTCAGGTGCCCAAGAAGTCTTAGTACCGCTTTATAATATCTTGGTAAGGCCACCCTTGGAATACGGCATCCAGTTTTGGTCACCATGATATAAAAAAAGATGTTGAGACTCTGGAAAGAGTGCAGAGAAGAGCAACAAAGATGATCAGGAGACTGGAGGCGAAAGCATATAAAGGACGGTTGCGGGAACTGGGGATGTCTAGTTTAAAGAAGGACTGGGGGAGACATGATAGCAGCCTTCCAATATCTGAGGGGCTCTCACAGACAATAGGAGAGAAGCAACCTGGAACTGAGGGGAAATTCCCTGATGGGGAGAAAATTAACCAGTGGAACAACTTGCCTCCAGAAGTTGTGGGTGCTCCAACACTGGAAGTTTTTAAGAACAGATTTGGACCCCCATTTGTCTGGAATGGTCTAGGCCAGGGGGCCACCTTGGCTCTTTTATGACTGGTGGACTTCAACTCCCAGAATTCCTGAGCCAGCCTGGGAGAACTATGGCCCCTTCATGACTCATGGACTTCAACTCCCAGAAATCCTGAGCCAGCCTGGCTCAGCTTGGAAACCTCTCCCTTTCCCCTCAGCATGGCTGGCTTAGGAATTCTGGGAGTTGAAGTCCACCAGTCATAAAAGAGCCAAGGTTGCCTACCCCTGGCATAGGATCTCCTGCCTGAGCAGGGGGTTGGACTAGAAGACCTCCGAGGTCCCTCCCAGCTCTCTTATTCTTCTATGAGAAGAAGAATCCCCCAGGCCTGAGTCTCTTGAAGAGAGGGAACTTTTGGCAGAAGCTTTTCTGCCAGCGGGAGGACTTTGCTTCAGGAGTCCAGGCCCTTCTTTGCATATTGGCAAGAAGACCATCCTGGCAGGGCTGGGGAGAGTCAACTAGGCCCCTGAGAATCCAGAGGGGGTGGAGGGGGCACTGGAGATTGCGGAGGGAGGGGTCACCACTTGAAGGTCAAGTGTCCACCATCCTCTGCCTGGGCTGCTGAAGGGAGGGGGCCATGTGTGGGTCTGCCTGCCCTGCTCCTGCCCCACACAGCCCCCCCTTGCCCTGCTCTCCCTGCAGATGTACGACTACAGCCTGGACATGTGGAGCCTGGGCTGCATGCTGGCCAGCATGGTCTTCCGCAAGGAGCCCTTCTTCCACGGGCACGACAACTACGACCAGGTGAGGCCCCCCTCAGCCGCCGCCAGCTGGGGCCAGCCTTCCCCCCTCGCCCCGTCCTCCTTTGCTGGAGGCTCCTGTAGGGACACCGGCCAGCTCTGCTCTGCTCCACTCACCCCCCAGAGTGCCCTGCGCTCTCCTCCCGCCTTCCCACTCACATCTGGGGAGACCGGAGTTGGGAGTTGTGTCTGGGGGAGGAAGGTGGAGGAGGAGGCCCCGGACAGGAGCCCTGGGGTTGCCCTCCGTGGGCACAGAAACAGGAGGGTCCACGCAGAATTCTCCGTCAGCCACGGGCCGGGGGTTGCCCCAAAGGGGCTTTTTTTTCCCCCCCAAAAGGCAAGTGGACTTCCTTGTTTTTCGTTTCGCTTTGGAATCGTTTTGCTTCTCATCCGAGAACTGGAGAAGCTTCTGGGATGGGAAGCAAAATGTTTTCAAGGGAAAATGGCTCCCCCCCCCCCCAACATCGGCTTGGCTTGCCAGAAGGTCACAAAAGGGGATCACCGCACCCCGGGACACTGCAACCGTCACAAATACGAATCGGGCCGAGTGTTCAAATATTGGGGATTCTGCAACCGTGGTTAAACGTGAAAAGCTTTCATAGGCCACTTTTTTCCCCCACTGCCGGTGATTGTAAGCCAAGGCGTTACCTGTGCTATAGAAGACCACCTGGGAGGCCCAGGAAGAGAGCCTTTTCTTCAGGCCCCCCCCCCCCCCTGCGGAACATCGGACCCTCCCCCTCAAATTAGATTGGCAGATTTAACCCCACTAGCCTTAAAGACGCAGTTTTGCCACCGGATTTGGAAATCGGGGGTAGATCCTGCCTAGCTATTTTGTTGATAGTTGTCGTTCTTTTTACACGCTTGGCTGCTGATTGTGTAGCAGGATGTTTGTGCAATTCTACTACCCTTGCACTGTCCTTTGCTTTTTGCATTATTTTAAATGGCCATCGGCCTCACAGAGTCGTGTGGTTGAGGCATTTGCTATAAAACAGGGGTCTTCAAACTTGGCCCTTTGATGACTTGTGGACTTCAACTCCCAGAATTCCTCAGCCAGGCACGCGTGCCTGGCTGAGGAATTCTGGGAGTTGAAGTCCACAAGTCATCAAAGGGCCAAGTTTGAAGACCCCTGCTATATAAAACGTCCTGCTCTGTCCTTGGCGCTGCCGGGCGGTGACCCCCTTCCCACTTCTGGGTCTTTCCCCAGTTGGTGCGGATTGCCAAGGTGTTGGGCACTGAGGATCTCTATGACTACATCGACAAGTATAACGTGGAACTGGACCCCCGTTTCAACGACATCCTGGGCAGGTGGGTGAGCAGGGCCCCCTCCCAGGCCCCCTCCCCTGGGGCGGGCCGCGGGCCGTGAAGGACAGCACTGGGAATCTTCCCCATTTCCCTCCGGGGCAGGCATTCCCGCAAGCGATGGGAGCGCTTTGTGCACAGCGAGAACCAGCACCTGGTGAGCACCGAGGCCCTAGACTTCCTGGACAAGCTGCTGCGCTACGACCACCAGACTCGGCTGACAGCCCGCGAGGCCATGGAGCACCCCTACTTCTGTGGGTAGCCGCGTCACGGTTCCCCCGCGTACCCCAGCCCCCTTGGACGGAGCTCTGTCGTAGACATTGCAGACGCAAGGCCCGGGGGCCGGATGTGGCCTTCAAAGTGGTTTCATGTGGCCCGCGAAGCCATCCTGGAAACAGTGAGGGAACGGCCCCCGCTGCCTTGGCCTTGGCCCAGGCCAGCCAAGAGCCAATGTACAATTTTGTGGTGGCCATCGATGCTGAAACGAATTCAGTCTTAGCTCCACAAGGCCGTCTGGAAACAGCGAGGAACCAGCCCCTGCGGCGTCGGTCCACCCCCTGGGTGCATGCTGGGGAGGGGTCATCCTTTATGAGGAATGAAGAAATGCATCGTAGCCTGGAAGTGGCCAGCAAATGGCCCTCGCCTACTTCACCTATCCGGCTTGATGGGCTCTGCCCTGGTCCCACCCTCTTCTGCCAGAGACCCTCAGATCTGTCCCACTCCTGCCCAGACCCCCACAGGCACCCTTGACGCGAATGATATAGAGCTGTCCACGCCCACCCAGTAGACCACACCCACTCTATCCACGCCCACCCAGTAGGCCGCACCCACTGAGGGCAACCGCAATGCTGATGCGGCCCTCAATGGAATTGAGTTTGACACCCCTGTCTCAGAGGCTTCCTGGGGGGCAGCCCGTCCTGTCCAGCCCTTTTCTCTCAAGACTGCAGTGTTTCCCTTTGTGCTGCCATCCTGCCAGGACTCGGCTCTCCCCTTCTGGGTGCTGAGGGGGCAGGCGGCCGAGGGAGCCGTCCGCCTGCATCACTGCTGTTTCTCCCCTTCTCTCTCTCGGTACAGATCCCATCGTGAAGGACCCAGCCAGGCTGGCCTCCTCCACTGTCCTCTCATCGGCCAACACACCTGTCAGCTCCTCCAGCATGTTGGCAGGTAGGCATCTACGGGCCTCAGCCGGGCGGGCAGGGGTGTGCCAGCCGCAGCACTGGGTGAATTGGCTTCCCAGGTAGCGTCCTTGACCCCTTCTTTCCTCCTTAGTGGAAGGGACCTTGGAGGTCTTCTAGTCCAGCCCCCTGCTCAAGCAGGAGCCTCTGTACCATTTGAGACAGGGGACTGTCCAGTCTCTTCTTAAAAACCTCCAGGTGTTGAAGCACCCACAGCTTCTGAAGCTGTTCCACCGATTAATTGTCCTCGCTGTTAGGAAATTCCTCAGTTCCAGGTTGCTTTTCTCCTTGGTTCTCTTCTTGTCCTGCCTTCGGATGCTTTGGAGAATAAGTTGACCCCCACCCTTCCTCTTTGTGGCAGCCCCTCAAATACTGGAACGCTGCCCTCTTGTCCCCCCCCCCTCGTCTTTCTTTTCTCCGGACTGGCCATCCCCACTTCCTGCAACCATTCTTCCTATGTTTTTGTCTCCAGGCCTCCCTTTTCCTTCCTTTTCTCCACCTGCAGGCATCGCCTCCATGTCAGCCGCCCAGCCGATCGGCAGCTTGGCCGCCTCCCCCGTCATCTCCTCTCCGAATGCGCTGGGCTCGCCAGTCCCCGCAGCCGCCGGAGCTCAGCCGTGACCACGGGAGAGCCATCTGGCGTTGAGCACCGCCAAGCCCGCAGTCGTGCCCTCCTCCTCCTCACCCCCCCTGCCCGCCTCTGCATGGCGCTACCGACGCCCGGGGCGGGCAGGAGGACAGCCCGAGGCGGGGCAGGGGGGACCCTGCCTCCGGAACCCCCCCTTTTTTTGTTTGTTTCTGTTGAGTGTGTCGAGGAGCCGAGTCCAGGCTGCTGCCTCCGCTGCTGCTGCTGCTCTTCCGCCTTCCACCAAGGCAGACTCTCGTTCCGGGCAGAGGCTTCTCCTCTGTGGTTTGTGTCGAGTCCCGTCGGCTGCCTTCTTCCCATGAGGGTCGTGGTTAGTGATGCAACTACAGTGTAGACACCTGAACGGAGAATAAAATTTATTTTCTATGTCCCTAAAGGGGCAGGTGTTGGGCCTGCTTCTTCCTGATGGAGAGAGAGAGAGAGAGAGAGAGAGAGAGAGAGAGAGAGAGAGAGAGAGAGAGAGGACGCCAAAGCACGGGGGTCTCCAAACCCTGGCGGCCCCTTTTGAGACTGGTGGACTTTGGCTCCCAGAATTCCTCAGCCAGCTCTGTGGAAGCCCACCCGTCTTCAAAAGGGCTGCCATGGTTGGAGACCCTTGCCCGTAGCAGACAGGGATGACCGCTGGGAGGGTTTTGGGGGGGTGGTCTCAAGACAAGGGCGCTCGAGGTGGAACCCACAAAATCCTGGAATTCGGCCCCACTTTCCATTTCCAGGCCTGGTCTTGGGTCCCTGCGGCTTGGGCACAGGGCAGGAGGGTTTTTGCTCGGGGGATGGGGCTTCCTGTGGGCTACTTGGGGGCTTGGGGGACCCTCCTCAGCACAGGTGGGGCTGGCTGAGCCCTCCCCACGAACGAGAGCTGGGGAGGAAGGGAAGGAGGCGGCCCCTTTCCAGCCCTTCCGCTGGAAGCCGCTGCAAGAGGGTGAATTGAACGGGCGCCTGGCCATGGGGGGAGCGTCTCTGGGGGTGCCAGCACTGCAGTTTGGGAGATCATAAACTTGGGGAGCAACACAGCCCCCCCCTCCCTCCGGTGGTCTTGACAGCGCAGCCGAGTCTGCAGTCAGGACAGCTCCTCCCCACGGTGGGTGTTTTCCTGCAGACCGAGCGCAGGTGGTCCTCAACATACGGCCACAGTTGAGCCCCAAATTTATGTCGCTAAGCGAGAAAGTTGTTAAGTGAGCTTTGCCCCATTTTACGACCTTCCTTGCCACCGTGGTTAAATGAATCACTGTGGTTGTTAAGTGAATTTGGCTTCCCCATGGACTTCATTTGTCAGAAGATCGCCGAAATGGGATCATGTGACCCCCAGGGGACGCTGCGGCTGTCGCAACTATGAGTCAGTCACCAAGTGGCCAAATTTTGATCACATGACCCCAGGGGGATGCGGTGGTCGTAAGTGTGTGAAAAACGATCTGTTACTTTTTTCCGTGCTGTTGCAACTTGGAAAGGTCACTAAACGGATGCTTGTAAGTTGAGGACTATTCAATAGTCACAAGAGTTTGTCCAGCCCTCCTCCTTTGCCCTTGCAGTGGCAGGAACCCCCACCCCCATTGAGACGAGTTCCCCACCTCCCTCCGAACCTTCCATCAGTTGCATAACAGGAGGCCGTCCTTGGGACCCTGCCCGACACCCCAGCCCAGAACCCCTCCCAGATGGCAGCTTCGCCAGCCTGATGCCCTCTGGTGTTTGCTGGTGGGCACCAAAGGGAAGGGAGGCCCCTCCAGCCCTCGGCTCTCCGCTCCCGGGGGACTTTCTCCATCACTAATAGGGTCACCAGCTGACGGGCTACGGTGGCCCTGGAGCCTCTAAATCACCAGGGAGAAAACGGACAAGATCAGAGTTACGCTCTGGCTCGGGTACCCAATCCCCGGGCTGTGACCCCACACCAGTCCGCAGCCTGCCAAGCCAGCCAAGCCCCATCCGTGCTCACAGGGGATCCAGGCAGTGTGTGAAACCACACATCCCAGTTCCACTGAAGAACCGACCTCCGCAGAACGGGTTTCTGGTGTCCAAAAAGTCTCGTGGTGTGTGTGTGTGGGGGTCTCTGCCGTAGCTTGTTCCTCATGGCAGGGAAGCAGCCCCGGCAGAGCTGTAGCTGGCTGGCAAGCTCAGCCCGTTCTCTGTGGCTTCCTCATCTCAAGAGTGGAACCTGGTTTGTCTCATTCCCTTCTGTGGCCAGCTGAGGGGAATCAGGACCGATGCCTCTGGAACCCCTGTGAAGTGGAGAGGCTGACTGAAAACAGACAGGGCAGGGAGGGAGGTCTGCAAAGGGTGGGCACCGTCATTGAAAAGCGCTCTCAACAACGCTTCCTGTCTCGGATGGTTTAGGGCAGGGGTGGGGAATCACAGTCCTTTCACGACTTGCCCGGCTCAGGAATGGTGGGAGTTGAAGTCCACAAGTCACGAAAGGGCCCCGGTTCCCCACCCCTGCTTTAGGGTATTCTTCTTCCCTGTCGGGCTTCTGGACGTGGTGGATGCAAATACCTGTGGAGACGCCCTCCGAGGCTTAATTCACGCGCTTGTAGGCTCGTTCACCCAGAAAGCCCTCAGCCTCTCATCGGAAGACGAGAGCCGGGTTCATGAGATGTGCCATCCCCAAATGAATCGGAGTATTTGCTGACCTGTAAGCCTCTCACTTCGTGGGACAAAGCTAAACAGGGTGTCGGGCCATCAACGGAACCCGCTCCTTCGCTTCTGCTTGGAGGTGGTTCGTGAATCGGATTCCTCTTGGAGGTGGTTCGTGATTCCCACTTGCCCTGTCCTCCATTCGTGGGATTGCCTGGTTTACTGCTAGGAATATTTTAACCAAAAGCTGATCTCCTACACCTGAAAGGGGAGCTCTTTGCTCCGGTGTTTTGCTCTTGTGCAGAATCTGCCCGAAACTCTTGGAGAGATGGCTGGCCGGTGTCTGTGTGCGGAGCTCTCTGGCAAAAGGGAACGGGCCGTGTTCCAGGAGCTTCCTCCTCATTGATTGATTGATGATGTGCCATCAGATCCACTAGCACTGATGGTGTTACCTGGTTGGGTAATGAAACGTCTGAGAAAAACAACCAAGCTTAGAGAGCACCACGGACCCCATAGTCCCTCCCTCCCTCTCCTCTAGTCCAACCCTGTGCTGAAACAAGAGACCACTACCCCATTCTAGACAAATGGCTGTCCAGTCTCTTCTTTAAAACCTCCAGTGTTGGATCACCCACAACTTCTGGAGGCGACTTCTGTTCCACTGGTTAATTGTTCTCACTGTCGGGAAATTCCTCCTTACTTCTCAGTTGCTTCTCTCCTTGGTCATTTCCCACCCATTGCTTCTTCTCCTGCCTTCTGGTGCTTTGGACTTATAGGAGGATGTTATGATTGATCTAAGACTGCAACACAAAACAGATCTTGAAGACCTAGACGATGCCTTCTCCTTTGTGGTCTGCCCCCTCTTTGCCTTTGTGTCTTTGCAACCAATCCCAGAAACAAAACAATTGCTCAGAGTAGGTTTATTTAAGAGAACAAGATTGACTGAGTTATCCATTATCCTTGTCCCTGTCCTGGCTCACAATTCTCCGGGCTAAGCACCCTGGTCCCGTAGACTTCCACCTCGCACAGTGCCAGGGATACTGTGCGGCTAGGAACGGTGACGGTGACATAGCGTCCCACACGACCGTTGCAGGAGATGGTGCTGATGGAGCCCAGACGGGTGTCGGTGATTCTCCCACAGCTGTTGGAAGAGAAAAAGGGAAGACCTGCACGGTTTGTCACGGTTCAGAAGGAGCGAATCAAAACGGTAACATAGTTTGAGAACGTCTCCTCAGGACTTTTCAAGGCACCTGGGTTGATCTCCTGTCAGCCACGGGAGAAGCAGTTTGGTGGTTAAGCTTTCTTGGATATCGAACTATAACGTCTATCTGTCAGAATCCAATTATATTTCATCTCTAGTTATCAAATATAGAAAACCCCAATTCTGCCTTCTCTGGATTCTGCCATAAGGGGAAGAGAAGGGGGTGAACAAAGGGGCTTTATGGCCCTCACTTCCTTCAGTATACTTCAAAGGAACTGAATGTGTGTATTGCAAAAGAACTAACCATAAGAATGGGGCCATTTCCTTTCATGTAGTTTCTTTGAAGTCTCCATCCAGCCGGGCAGTAATGAAAAGGGGGTGGAAGTGTAATGCCTGAGACTCGCTGAAAGAGGGGGTTGATTGGGTGGGGCTACTGGGGAACCCCTTAAAACCTTGAATGGGAGAGCTTGGACCCCAAGTCCTGTCTAGAACACCTGCAACCATTTTCTCTTAATAAAGGATTCCTGTTGGAAGAATTATTCCAAGAGTTCTGTCTTCTTAAGATGCAAAGTGGGGTGGGTCCTTACAGCGAGACAATGGCACCATATGGTGGTTTTATTATGGTTTTATCTTAATATTTTACTTCCTGTTCTTAGATGATTTAGGTATTACAATTTTAGGTATAATGTACATACCGGTAGTAACGGTTTGCCTGCAAATGACTTTTATAGTTTTAATCATAATGTAATGTGAACAACAGCTTTAAACTTAATGTAAGCTGCTTTAAACACGGTTGTAAAAAATTCAAATGTTGTAACAAGGTTGTCAAATTTCTGGAATTTCGTACCTGATTTCAGTTTAAAGCTACTAACTTTGATAGTTTTAATTCTAACTTAACTTCTGTGAACTTCATTAAGAGCTTCCTGAAGCAGTGTTTCTCAACCTTGACAATTTTAAGGTATGTGGACTTCAACTCCCAGAATTCCACTGTCCTAAAGGGTCATGCATAAGTGCCTATTGTCCCTGTCACATTTTAATTTTTTTCCTTTAAAATAAAATAAAAATGTATTGCCTATTTGTCTATCTCTCTATTTCCATAACCTCTCCCTCTCTCCCATCCATGTCTGTCTGTCTGTCTGTCTGTCTGTCTATCTATCTATCTATCTAATTTCATGGTGCTTTATTTAAATTTATATTTGTATGTCCTAACTGCATGACCTTTGTAGATGCTATAGACTAAATAAAATTAAGAAATGCATTCCTAAAAAAAAGATATCCATAGATTGCCCCTGTGATTATGTAGGGCAGATGGGGAGGAAGCTAACCACCAGATTGCAAGAATACAAGCAAGCATTCAGACGTGGAGACCTGAACTCATTGGTAGCTTCCCACTGCAGTGAACGGGAACACACATGCAATTTTGCAACTACTAAGATTGTTGGACGAGCAGGCACAAAAACAGCCAGAGAAGTGATTGAAGCCTGGGAAACGGGCCCTTCGTTAGTCAATAGGAGTGCTGATTTACCACCAGCCTATCAAGTGCTTTAGAAGGTGAGGGATGGCCAGCACAAACAAATGACAGCCAACGACTTAATAGCCACCATCAACATACCCCAATCAACATCTTAAAAAGCCACATACAACAAGCACTGTATAAATACTATACACAGCACGCTGCTAGAGAGACGTTCCCTAAAGATGGGCTCCAGCATGAGTCCAAAAGCTCGGAAGACAAAATCTGTGATCCTGGTGACTGACCCAGATTGAATCCTAAAAAAGATATTCCCAAATATGGAAGCCTTAAATATTTTAGCCTTACCCCACCCCAAATCTAAGCACCGGCCTCTTCTATGAGGTCTTGGGTGCTACCAAATTAACGTCATTTTCCTAGCCAGTTTGATTCCTGTCTAGCCACTTTCTGCGAAAAGAGGAACTTACAGAGGATTGTTTTTTCCATGGTTGCTCACAAAGTTTCCCACACGGATCTCTGCTCCCTGGAGCCTTTCTCCACAGCAGTCTGCACGGTTTTTTACCACCACGGAAGAAATGGCATGCCGGCTACCCAGGTCCACGTACCACCAGGGCCCCCTTTCTCGCTTCGTGTGGGTGCAGGTGTTCTGTCCAATCCAGCGTCCACTGCAGTTCCCATCCACGGCTTTGCTTGCAACTGAATTGAACTGGCTTGGAAAGGTGGAAGATTGGAAAGCTGGACGTCCTCTGGCCACGTTTATAGCTAGGAGGAAGTGTGGGAGAAGAAAGGCATGTCAGAATTTGTTCTTGGTGGACTTTTTTTCTCTGGATCTGCAAACAAATGTCCGGGAGGAAACACAAAGTCCTTGGGACAACTTTCAACTTTCTTAAAGTCTTGCTGTCTGCTAGCGACCACTTGGAAAAGCACAACGTAGGGAAAGATAGGTGGCCCTCTGCACTTTCCTGCATGCCTGACCAGGAAGTGGCTGAACAGAATGAGTAGACAGGCTAGAGAGCTTCTTGTGAGAAGAACAGAATTTGGGAGTTCTCCTAACTTGGCCATTCTCCATATTTGCTTTCTTTGCAAGGGTGGAAAGGAGAATGCCTAATCTAGACCCTCCTTGTGAGCCAGAAATGTGGTGTACTCGGAGTCAGTCTTCCTATCAAGGAAGGCGACTTCCAGGGTGGAAATAACATACTGAAGATGGCTTTGCTAAAGGTGGAGCTCATGAGTGTGGCAGAGCTACCAAGTAGATGGGCTCTTAGTAATTCCTCTCTGGACAAGAAGGGGACTTGAGATCACCCTCTAGTGCTTCAGATATTTGCTCCTCATGAGGAGACCACAAGACAGCCGTCTCTGGTGGGTTTAGACCTCTGGAAGACAAGGGAACACCATCTCTGCTCAAATCATAGCTGGCATTTTCAGGGACACAGGATTTACATATGTTCTAATCACTCTTGGAAATAACTTGTTAATTACTTTTCAGCTATGAGGGATCTTTGGATTTACAGCTCTGGATGATTTACTGTCAGTCCTCAGCAAAAGAATCTTAAATACAGGTTTAAGAACTTTATTTTTTTTTCTTTTGGAATAAACAGCAAAAGGGTGATTTGAACAATTTTGGAAATTATAAAGGGTCCAGATGGATTTGAAATAAGATTTAGAAATTAATTATCCTTCCTGTGGGAAAATGCTTATCTTTTGAATTCTCTTTTTTAAAACAAAAACATGATAAGGGGCAATTTTGAAGATTGGACACTAGAGGGAACTAAAAGGAACTAAAGATCATAATTCAAAGAAGAACGCTTAAATTTAACGTACTAATACAGAATGGAATGAAATATCATAACATCAGACTTATTGTATATATTTGAACAATGGATCCAGAAGTTAATTTTAAGAGTGTCCGCTATTATAGATTGTGTTTAAAAGATGTAATGAAAAAAGAACAGGTAACACTGGACAAGGCCATTGACTGAACTGAAAGTGGATTTAAAAATGACAGATTACAAGAATGGTACACAAAACGATGCTACATTGAATGTACAAATGAAATCAGATCACGTCCTAATAATTAAAAGAGACATACAAATAACAAACCGAAAAAGTGAGCTGGATAATTTTCCTATATTGGATTTATAAAAGAGACTTTTTAAAACTGAATAATTTTGTGAGATGGGACAAAGAAAAAATGAAAATAAATCAAGTTCTACAACGTGATTTGAAGGCGTTAAAAGATAAAGATTCTTAAAAATAAAAGAAATATAAATTTGCTTTACGTGATCAAAGCTAAAATACATATATTATCATTAGTAACCCATAATGGACTGCAGCTAACTAGGTCTGCACATCAAGATTTCAAGGATTTGGTGCTCGCTTCGGCAGCACATATACTAAAATTGGAACGATACAGAGAAGATTAGCATGGCCCCTGCGCAAGGATGACACGCAAATTCGTGAAGCGTTCCATATTTTTTTATTTTGCTTTGAATATGTATAAGGGGACTTCAATGTCAATGGTATGGGATGCAGGGAAAGCATTTATGCGTGGGATTTTGATAAAAATGAATAACTGTCATAAGCAAAAACAGATTCAGAAACGTAAAGAATTGGAAGATGAAATTAAATTAAAAGAAAAGTCTTTGATTTTAAATCCTTCTGATGAAAGTATTAAAGAATCCTTAAAGTTGTTAAGAACACAATTTAATATGTTGTTAGCAGATCAAGCTGCAACCAATTTATTGTTTATGAAACAAAACACATTCTGCAATGCTAACAAGCCAGGGAGATGGTTGGCTTATCAATTGAGAAAGAAACAGAGACAGAGAACAATAGATAAAATAAATTACAAGGGTAAATTAGTTTCTCAGAAGGAACTGATTAAGAAATCTTTTTTGGATTATTATCAAAAATTATATAAATCTACTAATGTGCAAATTTTAGAGATAAATAAATATCTAAGCGAGGTTAGTTTCCCTAAATTGACAGAGGATCAGAAATATGAAGTTAATGGTTTAATTACTAAGGAGGAAATTTCGCTAGCAATTCAACAATTGAAACCAGGGAAAGCACCGGGTACGGATGGGTTAACAGCTGTTTATTATAAAGCTTTATTGGAGGAGATGACTCAACCATTAGGTGATCTTTTTAATGGCATTTTACAGGGTCAAGAGATTCCTCCCTCATGGCGTACTGCTTTTATATCATTGATTCCAAAGGAAGATCAAGATCTTACTTTACCAAAGAATTATAGGCCTATATCTCTTTTAAATGTGGATTATAAGATATTTGTAAAAATCTTAGTAAATAGGCTTATGAGGGTTGTGCACCACCTTGTGCATAAAGATCAATCTGGGTTCATAACTGGAAGGTACATGAAAAATAATGTCAGACAAATTATTAATTTATTAGAATATTTAGATAAAAATAACCAAGTTCCTGCAGGGCTGATATTTTTAGATGCTGAAAAAGCCTTTGATCAATTGAATTGGCATTTTATGTTAAGAGTAATGGAAGAGATGAATTTTGGTGAAAAGATATTGCAAGCTCTTATGGTAATATATCAAAAACAAATGGCACAACTTATCGTTAATGGAGGCTTGTCAGAGGTTTTTACAATAGAGAAAGGTACTAGACAGGGTTGTCCATTATCACCGTTGCTGTTTGTCTTAACACTGGAAATACTGTTGATCAAAATTCGAGAGTCGCAGGAAATTAAAGGAATAGAAGTTAATAAAAAAGAGTATAAGTTAAGAGCTTTTGCGGATGACTTGGTTATTACTTTGTCGCAACCTACTTATTCTGTAGTAAAATTATTACAGTTGATTCATAATTATGGTTTGGTTTCGGGTTTTAAGATTAATGTTAATAAGACTAAAATTTTACCTAAAAATATGACTAGTCGGGAGAAGCAGACTTTGGTTAATTTGACGGGTTTTGAAATTGTTAATAAGGTAAAATATTTGGGGGTGATGCTATCTGTTTCTAATGCAAAATTATTTAAAAATAATTATGAAAGGTTGTGGGTTAGGGTACAGAGAGACTTGAAGAATTGGGAAAAGTTGCAATTATCCCTCATGGGAAGAATTGCAGTGATAAAAATGAATATTCTACCCAAGTTTCTCTTTTTGTTCCAAATGATACCGATTTTGAAGAATGAGATCAATTTAACTGAGTGGCAGAAAGGCCTTAATAAATTTATTTGGGCAGGGAAAAAGCCAAGGGTTAAATTTAAAATTATGCAAGATTTCCGTGAGAGGGGAGGACTCAAGGTGCCGAATTTGAAATTATATTATGATGCGGTGGTTTTAACATTAGTTAGTGACTGGGTAAATTTGACAAATTCTGATATACTTCACTTAGAGGGATGGAATCTACTTTTTGGGTGGCATGCCTATTTAATATTTAATAAAAAAATGGATTGGGCTTTTAAATCTCATATCTTAAGAATTTCTTTACTTAGGGTTTGGAGAAAATATTATAAAAGTGATTTCAAAGTACCATTATGGGCTATACCTTGGCATGCAATAGAAGGAATAAAAAGAGGGGTTAAAATGGATATGGTGTCTTATAGACAGTTACTTAAATGGGATGGACAAAACTGGCAGTTAAAATCACGGGAAGAGTTAGCACAAGAAAATATTATTTATTCTTGGTTCCAATATAGGCAATTATCAGATAGATGGAAGATGGACTGTAAGGTGGGTTTTCTCAGAGAAGATGAAAATCTTATTAAGCAAGTGAAGGATCAAAGACAAACCCACATTAAGAGGATTTATGGGGTTTTAGTTGAATTGGATTCAGAAACGGAACTAATTAAAGATTGTATGATTAGATGGGCGCAGAATTTTGGTGAGCCAGTTCCATTGGACACCTGGGAAACTATTTGGGTGAGAAATGTCAAATTTACACAAGCACAGAACTTAAGGGAGAATTTTTATAAAATGTTTTATAGATGGCACCTTGATCCACAAAAAATGTCTTTTATGTACCCTGACTTACAACCTAAATGTTGGAGATGTGGTTGTATGGACGCTACTTATTATCATATTTGGTGGTCGTGCAGAGAGATAAAAGCATTCTGGATTAAGATATGGTGGAATATCCAGAGAATTTTTAAAAGGAGGGTAAAATTTACTCCACAATTATTTTTGTTAGGTATAGTTATTGATTGTGATACAAAGGAGGTTATATTGATGTTAAACTTGATTACAGCTGCGAGGCTGTTAGTAGGACAATATTGGAAGAAGGAATCTTTGCCTACATTGCAGGAATGGTTTCTTAAAGTGTCTCATTTGGCGGAAATGGCAAAGATTTCGGCTTTCTTAAAGGGTCAAACGCAAGAGAAATTCTTGCTGTTTGGGATAAATGGATAAAATTCATACAATTTAAATTTGATATAAAAATACTATATAGTTTTTTCATAATTTTTAACTTTATATATATATATATATTTTTCTATTTTATATTCTTTTTTTTATAAATTTTTTTAAACTTTTTCTTTAATTAAGCCTATATTCTGCTCTGGGAGGTCCTGGGGGGGGGAAGGGGGGGTTTGGGTAGGGGTGGGGGAAGGGGGGTTTTGTTGGGTAATGTTTGTTTTTTATTTGTATATGTTGTTTTTTGTTTTTGTATTGTCTCTTATTTTCTGTAAAATTTATAAAACTTTTTAATAAAAAAAAAAAAAGATTTCAAGGATTTGTTTATAAAATAGAGATGGGATATGGGAAGAAAAAATACGTCATATTTAAGAGAAAATGATAAGTTATTAAAATTGTTTATATGTGTGATGAAGGGGAAGTCATTTCTTTATATATTTCATTTTCTTTACTATAGATCCAACTTAGAAGTAAGGAGGCATTACTCACGTGGCGACAGTTCCTGGAAGGCAACAAAATCCCCTTCCAGGTGTGGACTGATCACAAAAATTTAGAAGCCCTGAAAACTTCCAGGAAACTCAATCCCAAACAAGCCCGCTGGTCCCAGCATTTTCACCAATTCCATTTTAAGCTCAAACATTTACCAGGAAGAAAGAACTTCCTGGCAGATGCTCTATCTCGCATGCCCCAATATAACAGCGCACGAACCACAGACTCTAGACCAATAATGGCAGAGTCACAACTGGCAGCACCAGTAACCACAAGAACCCAAGCCAAAATACAACCACAACTGGACAGCCAAACTGGGATTGAATTCAGAAAAAGCTTGGAAACAGATGAATGGTTCCAGAAAAACAAAAATGTGTGCACAATGAGAGACGGGTTGCCTTGGGTAGGGGAAAAGTTATATATACCAACAACTCAAAGAGTAACTTTCATGCACCTTTGCCCTGACACAAAATCAGCAGGGCATTTTGGATTTGTAAAAACTTTACACTTAATTAAACGGCAATTTTGGTGGCCATCAATAAAAAGGACATAGAAAGTTATGTTGCCAGCTGCCCAACCTGTGCATCAGCAAAGAGGTTGCAAGGGAAATCGCCAGGGCTATTACAACCAGTGGCAAGTCCCTCAGCCCCCTGGAGGGAAATAGCCATGGAGTTTATAGTGGAATTGCCAGAAAGCAATGGGAATACTGTTATCTGGACAGTTACGGACCTATTTTCCAAACAGGTGCACTTTATCCCTTGCCAGAAGATTCCCACTGCAAAGGCCTTAGCAAAACTTTTCATCCAGCACATTTACAGATTGCACGGGGCACCCCAACGCATCATCTCTGATAGGGGAGTGCAATTTATGTCTGCATTTTGGAAGGAATTTTTATCCCTCTTAGGGACCACTCAGGGACTGACATCTAGCCATCACCCTCAGACAGATGGACAAACAGAACGCTGCCATTCGGTACTTGAGCAATATTTGAGAGGTTTTTTAAATTTCCAACAGAGTGATTGGACGGACTTACTTCCTTTTGCAGAAGTCGCCTACAATAATGCAGTCCACTCCAGCACAGGCTACACTCCTTTTCAAATAGCCAACGGTCAAAGTTTCAACCCTATGCCAGAGTTAACCCAAAACGAACCAACGATCCCTTCACTGAAAGAATGGATGGAAAACCTACAAAACACCTGGCCAATAGTCAGAAAATCACTAGATGAAGCTAGGCAGGCATACACAGCACAAGCCGATAAAAAAAGGGTTGAGCCTACACCATTCATTATAGGAGAAATGGTGTACTTATCTACAAAATACCTAAAATCCCTACAGCCCTGTAAAAAACTTGGACCAAAATATATAGGACCTTTTCCAATTAAAAGAATCATAAATCCAGTAACAGTAGAATTAGAATTACCCAAAAATCTCAGGCAAATACACCCAATTTTTCATTGCAGCTGCTGAAAAGAGAGCATCAGTCACCTCTACGGCCAAAAATCCCCCCCCCACCACCTCCAATCATGGTGGAGGGGGAACAACACTTCGAAATAAAAGAGATCCTTGACTCTAGGAGATATCGTGGAACAACTCAGTACCTAGTTGCCTGGAAACACATCCCTGCCTCACAAAATGAGTGGGTCCATAAACGTCACGTCAGAGCCCCGAAGCTATTGAAGAAGTTTCACACAGAGTATCCTAACAAGCCTAACTAAATTTTATACTTGTGTTTTCTTTCAGGTGGATCTCTATTATTTTTAAGAGGGGCCGGATGTCAGAATCCAATCATATTTCATCTTTAATTATCAAATATAGAAACTCCCAATTCTGCCTTCTTTGGATTCTGCCATAAGAGGGAGAGAAGGGGGAGAACAAAGGGGCTTTATGGCCCTCACTTCCTTCAGTACAATTCAAAGAGCTGAATGCTGAATGTGTGTTTATTGTAACATCAAAGCGTTAGCACTAGAGAACCTTATCATAACAAAGCAGGATACTTGCCTTTCATGTAGTTACCTGAAGTCTCCATTCAGACGGAAGAAAGAAGAAAGGGGGTGGAATTGTGAGACTTGAAACTATCACTGGAAGGGGGGTTGATTGGGTGGGACTACTGGGGAACCCCTTAAAACCTTGAATGGAAGAGCTTGAACCCCAAGTCCTGTCTAGCATGCCTGCAACCATGTTCTCTTAATAAAGGATTCCTGTTGGAAGAATTATTCCAAGAGTTCTGTCTTCTTAAGATGCAAAGTGGGGTGGGTCCTTACAGTGTGATAACCACTGAAGTATGGAATAGCTTCTCTACCGGAGTTTTCATACAACCATTTGACCGAGATGGTATAAGGCAGTGGTGGTGAACCTATGGCATGCGTGCCAGAGGCGGCACTCGGAGCCCTCTCTGTGGGCACGCATGCTGTTGCCCCAGCCCCGCAGCCCCCTCCTCACCAGCAGCCCCCCCCAGAGGAGAGTCGCCCCCAAGTGCGGCCCATGCAGAGCAGCGCAGCCAAGAACATGGCAGCCGGGCAGTGGGGACAAGACTCCGCCCTCATGCCCTGTTGTGCACAGTTGATTCTGTGGGGTGCAGGCAGAGGATGTGGCTGCCATGGCACTGCTAGGCCGCCTTAGTGAGCTGTGGAGGCGGTGGGTGGCCCTGCGGGCAGGCGGGGCCAGGGGCAGGATGGGGGCAGAGTGGGCAGGGTGAGGCAGGACCTGGTTTTGGGTACTCGGTCTCTAAAATGTTCACCAATAGTATAAGGTCTCCTGCCTTGAGCAGGAGGTTGGACTAGAACAGTGGTTCTTAACCTGGGCGATATCGCCCCCCAGGGGCGATTTCATTTTTCAGGGGGGCGAAGGAAGAAAAGGGGGCAATATGGGGGTGATGGAGCGAGAAGTTTTGGGGACACTTTTGAGACTTTTTCGTACAGTGAATCGCTGTATATCTATCGTACAAAAACATCAGATCTCTCGCTATTAGTGGATTGAATTTTGTTTTCAGTGGTCATTACATTTAAGTGTCTTGAATAAATAAGATAATAAGGAAATACATGTATCACGAAGTTTGGGAATAAAGTGACGGGTGGCACCAAAATTTTTCACACAGTTGAGGTATGGGAAAAAGACTGGAAATAAAATATTTGCATCAATATGTCCTGATAAAAATTTTAAGGAAAACAAAAAAAGTGTTTGCATAAATTGAAGAATTATTTCCTAGGTGGTGATGGAGAGGTTATGTTGGGGGAGGGGGGCGATGACAACTTCCTTATTGGCTCAAGGGGGCGATTCGTTCAAAAAGGTTAAGAACCACTGGACTAGAAGACCTCTGAGGTCCTTTCCAGCTCTATGATTCTAGATTGAATTGAATAATTTACTCTCATTTTCCTCTATACACAATGGCACACACTGACATGAAATGTTGATGCTCCGCTCTCAAAGGAGATTAATAATAATAATAATAATAATAACCCAGATTGTTGGGGGTAATGTAAATATATATATACATTGCTTACTGGTGTACACCGCTTAGAGAGTGCTTGCACTTAAAGTGGTATATAAGTCTCATAAATAAATAAATAAATAAATAAGTTGGAAGGGACCTTGGAGGTCATCTAGTCCAACCCCCTGCTAAGGCAGGAAACCCTAGACCATTTCAGACAAATGGCTGTCCAGTCTCTTCTTAAAGACTTCCAGTGTTGGAGCATTCACTGCTTCTGGAGGCAGGCTGTTCCACTGGTTAATTGTTCTCACTGCCAGGAAGTTTCTCCTTAGTTCCAGGTTGCTTCTCTCCTTGATCAGTTTCCCTCCGTTGCTTCTTGTCCTGCCTTCAGGCGCTTTGAAGAATAGCTTGACTGCCTCTTCTTTGGGGCAGCCCCTGAGATACTGGAAGGCTGCTGTCCTGTCCCCCCTCGTCCTTCTCTTCATTAGACTAGACATACCAACTACCAACATCACCATCCCAAGCATGATTATAACAATAATATTACCAATGTTCTATCTTTATTTTTTCTTCTCTGCACTTTCTAATTGTTTTATTCCTTTCTTTTAGTTTGCTTGACTTTTTAATCCCTTTAATTTGTAATGTTTAATGAAAGCCACCAAGGAAGACAAGAGCGGTGCTCTCCTTTCCCCTTCAGTAACTGGAGTTGGCCAAACTCCACCCAAGGGAAGACTTGAGTTCTCCCCTGTCCGCAGCACTTACCGACGCCTATCAGGTCCGGTCTGCAGCTCTGGGCCTCCCCCTGGCCGGCCAGGAGCCCCAGAACAGGCAGCCACATCCAGGTGAGAAGCATCGTCCTGTGAGGGGAAAAAGCAGAGGGCAGTGAGAAGGAGCACAACAATCAATAAAAAGCATACTTAAAAACAAAGGTGCCCTTCTCTCTTAGGACTAATCATATCCACAGTTTAACTCCCATCCTAGATTTGGGGGAATCTCCAGCTAATACTGGAGGGGGTGATGTTAAGAGGGGGCCGAGCTTGGAATCCTTGCACTGAAGAAGGCAGCAGGGGCCTGACCTGCCCCAGAATCCCTGAAGCCTTAACTTGCCTTTCCCAAGGGAACGCAGCCAGTCTGGTGAGATTCTTGTAACAGAGTTGATCAGCAATAAAGCTTCTGTTTGCGATGCCTCACAAGTGCTACTGGTTGCTTTGACTGCCTGGGGGGGGGGGGGAAACCAGGTCTTTACAGCCCCCTGAAGGGCTAAAAAGGCAGGAATTGAGTTTCCTGGCCTGAGTATAACGCACAGTTAATTCAGTTTCAAACAACACCTGAAATGCTGCATCCAGTTTTAATCACCACATTACAAAAAAGATGTTGAGACTCTTAAGTGCAAAGAAGAGCAACTAAGATGATTAAGGGCCTGGAGGCTCAAACATAGGAAGAACAGTTGCAGGAACTGGGCATGGCTAGTCTAGTGAAGAGAAGGACAAGGGACATGATAGCAGTTTTCCACTATTTGAGGGGCTGCCCCAAAGAAGAGGGAGTCAAGCTATTCTCCAAAGCCTCTGAAGAAGGCAGGACAAGAAGCAACGGATAGAAACTAATCAAGAAGAAAAGCAACCTGGAACTAAGGAGAAATTTCCTGGCTGTGACGACAACCAGTGGAACAGCTTCCCTCCAGAAGTTGTTGGTGCTTCATCACTGGAAGTTTCTAAGAAAATGTTGGACAGTTATTTGTCTGAAATGGTCTAGGGCAGGGGTGTCAAACTGCCAGCCTGCGGGCCGGATGCATCACGATAAATGGCGCCCACCCCATTGCCAGCAATGGAGAAAAAGCTCTGATACATTGCACGATGTCACGTGATGTCGCAGGTTTGACATGTCTGGTCTAGGGTCCCCTGCTTGAGCTAGGGGGTTGGACTAGAAAACTTCCAAGGTCCCTTCCAGCTCTATTCTGATTGATTGATTGATTGATTGTTTGGGTTGATTCCCTTCAGCCTGATTTGCCAATGGTGCCTTAAATGCGAACAATCCCAGATCCAATTTGCCACATTGGAGAGCGAGAAAGCTCCTGATCAACTGGGAAAATTGGAGGGAAACAGGAAGCTAAAGGTGAATTGCAGGAAGCAGATCTTATCCTGACAGAGGATTAGAGCAGAATAACCTTGGGCAAATATTGACCCTGTTGGCAGGCAATACGAATTTCCTCTGCAGAGCTTCTTGGGATGCTGGGGTAGGTAGCCACGATTCTGAATTTCTAGGACCATTTTTTGCAAGACCACCTGATATTCCCATAGAGGACATCTAATCCATCTTAATTATGGCCACAGGGAAATATTCTGGAAACATTTTTGGAAGTGTTTTACCCTGACCTTCTTTTTAGGGCTGAGAAAGCGTGACTGGTCTAAGGTCATCTAGTTCAGGAGTCTTTACCTTGGCTGGCTGAGGAATTCTGGGAGTTGAAGTCCACAAGTCTTAAAGTTGCTAAGGTTGGAGACTCCTGATCTAGTTGACTTTCATCCCTGTGGCAGGATAAGAATTGTAATTGTAAATTGATAAAGTTTTAAAACAGGTTGAGTAGCAATAGAAATCTAAGCTAGAAATGGAATATATTAAATTTATTATGTTACTGTGGGAAATAGAGAGATGACAGTGAATGTATTAAGTTGAGCTGTTTATCTATGTTTTTTTACTTTGGAATGTTTGTTTACCCAAACACCACGGTGTGTCTTAAGTACTTTTTGTTAAAATTATAAAACCAATAAAATATATTTAAAAAAAAAAAGACTCAAAGAGCCATTTGGACCCATTTCCCAGAGAAAATAAAAAACTGGGAACCACAAAACCCTGCTGCTTACCCCTCCTCCCGCACAGAATGCCCCACCGCCACTGCTTCCACCCCCCAACCCCGACAGAGCGCTCCACCATCACTGCTGCTTCCCCCTGCACGAAGCGTCCCACCGCCACTGTTTCCCCCACCTTCCCGATGGACCACTCCACCACCGTCACTGCTTCCCCCCAGGATGGAGCGCTTCGCCGCTGCTTCCCCCAGTGGCAAAGGTGGAGTTTGGGAGGCAGCAGCAGGGCGTAGCCCAGGTGTGGCCCAGCAGCAGCAGCAAAGCTCGTCCTCGACACACAAGCAGCCACCAATGGCTTGGGTGCTTCTGCTCCATCCGAGTTGAAGAAAGCAGAGGCGCAGCAATAGGATTGCGCTCAATAAGTCTGGCGCACACGAGCGAGTAGCGCACCCGGCTCTTATTGCTTGAGAGCAATCCCGCTGCTGCACCTTTGCTTTCTTCACCTTGGACGGAGCAGACCCATCCAAGCTGCTGGCAGCTGATTGAATGGGGAGGATGATGAGGAGGAGAAGAGCGTGAGGGCGGCTGGCCAGGTGAGGAGTAGGCTGGGCGATGGTGGCTGGCTGACTGGGAGGGGGAATCATGGTCGCTTGAGGGGGCTCTGCCAAGCTTCATGGCAGCGGCATTGGCAACCCCCCCCCCCAGCCCATTTCCCTGTCTCCGTATAAGTTGCTTGGCAAAAATCCCGCGCCCCCGATCGGACACAAGTGGAACCTTCTTTCTAGCTCCACCAAGGTCCTCCGTCACGTCCTCTGCCACCGTGTGCAGTCCCACAAAAGAAGTGGGACTAAAAAAGTTCAATCAATTCCAACTTCACGAGATCTTTTTTTTTTTTTTTTGCCGCAAGAAGTTGGAATTGATTGAATGGACCTTTTTAGTCCCACTTCTTTTGTTTGTGAGACTGCACACGGCGAGGACTGGAAGCCAAACTGCGGGTTGCTGACCCCTGATCTAAGCATACACAAGCACACTCAGCACTCTTCAAACGTTTTGTGTATCAATTCCCACCCAGATGAAAAGCATTTTGTAAATAGGTCCCTCAAGGTGGGGATTCCCTGCTCAAGGCAGAGAAGGCAGCTGGTTCTGGTCTGCAGCATTTGCTCCACAGGCTTTCTCTAATTCAGGGGTCCTCAACCTTGGCAACTTTGTGACTTCAACTTCCAGAATTCCTCAGCCAGCAAAGCTGGCTGAGGAATTCTGAGAGTTGAAGTCCACAAGTCTTAAAGTTGCCAAGTTGAGGACCCCTGCTCTAACTCACCTGGCGTCTCTCCCTTGCCCAGCCAAATGGATGAGATGAGCTTTCACAGGTGGTCCTCTTCAAGCTGCGATTTCTCCAAAATATTCACAGTCTTCTCTACCAGATATTTTTTAACTTCCTTCCTAATGGGCTGACTCCTCCTCCTTCAGAGAGCCCAGCCAACCAATGGAAAGTTACAGAGCTTCTGATGGAGACCAATCAAGACCAGGTTACAACTCTCCCATTGGTTGTTTCCTCCATGCCTCTGGGTCTTGGCAGTGGGGAGAGAGGAGATGTTACACAACCCACATCCTGCAGGATTTCACCTCCTCTTTCCAAGCAATGCAATTCTTGGGAGGAACATAATGGTCTTCCTTGACAGATGCCAACTGGTTTCCGTATCAGAACATCCTCATTGTCTGTGAGCAAACAGCACTTAGGAATGTTTTTACAGGATTCGAGCATGCTCACACCTCCAAAGTCAACATGAGTGGGCAGCTGCATTTGCTGGAGAGGGCCAGAATAATGGATCTGGAGAGAGAAGACCTTCCTGCAGTATATTCAAAGATGTTGCTGAGACTCTACAAAGAACGCAGAGAAGAGCAACACTGATGATTCGGTGACTGAAGGCTAAAAGATGAAGAAAGTTTTCAGGAATTGGTTATGTCTACTTCATTGAAAAGAAGGACTAAGGGTGACATGAGATCAGTCTTCCAAAATTTGAGGGGCTGCCCCAAAAAAGAGGGAATCAAGCTATTCTCCAAAGCGCCTGAAGGCAGGACAAGAAATGATGGAAGATAATCAAGGAGATGCCACGTAGAACTAAGGATAAATGTCCTGGCAATCAGTGGAACAACTTGCCTCCAAAAGTTGTGGGTGCTCCATCCCTGGAGGTTTTAAAGAAGAGATTGAACAGCCATTTGTCTGAAATGGTATAGGATCTGTTGCTGGAGCTAGGGGTTGGACTAGAAGACCTCCAAGGCCCCTTCCAGCTCTGTAATTCTGTTAGTCTTCTTTCTGTTTCTTAAGGGGTCGTGAATCTTGGAGAGCCACTTAGCCTGGAATCTTACAAGGAAGAATTAAGCTTTCCTGTCCAAAGACTGTTTGGCCTTACAAAGCAGAGGAAGCCATAAGGTCCACTGAAATTAAGCAGTGAGCGATTAAGAACAGATGAATGGAAGAACGTTCTCTGCAGAGATGGCCTGTGAGAGTTCTCTCCATAAGACGAATTTCCTGGTTGGCCTTCAAGTAACAATACAGCTACTCCTTGAGTTATAGCCACAACTGAGCCAAGGAATATGTTAAACAGGGTAGTCCACCTCAATGCCTGCAATTCCAGCTCCCCCATTGCGGTGGCTAACTGGTTAGTGAAGCCAGGGGGCTCCAAAACCGGCAATTTTAAGACTTGTGGACTTCAACTCCCAGAATTCCCCAGCCAGCCACGGGGAATTCTGGCTGCCGAGGTGAACTTCCCGGTTGACTTTCCAGGGTCCATAAGCAAATTCAGCAGGAAAAAGGGAGAAAACGGGAGCGATCAGTTGCTATCCAGAATTTCAATATTGAACAATTTGAAATCCAGTCACTGCGGACGTTGTACTGTGTACAAAGTTGGAGAGGAATCTTGTCATTGCCAAAGGCTTTGGATTGGCCAATGGGAGAACTGGATGATGCTTTGTGGCCTTTTATTACTCTGTGGGAAGTCACCCCCCCCCCCAGAGAAGGAAATATTAAAGAGGCAGAAAAGCATGCCCAGTTTTTCTTAATAGCTCCAAGTCTCCCTCCCCCAAGCAGAAACCAGCTCTGTAGAAATGCAGATGTAAATAATCCAGGAAGGTTGGAGGTGCCCAGCTAGAAGCTTAGGAAGACAAAGACACCTAAAATCTACATACCCCACCCAAACTCTAAGACAGGACATAATAGGATTAACCCACAGATGCCAAAGGGCACACTCAGATTCAGGTCAAAGTTCATGCCACAGGAACAACTCCAAACAAAAGGCTCCAGAGGGTATAAAAACCCACTCCCTACATGTGTTCACTCTCTTTTCTTCCAGAGCCATCTTTCTGTCTGGCTCTCCTCTCCAATAAACTGCAACCTTCTTTCTAAAGCAGTCGCCATGTTGTTTATTCCCAGCTTGGATTGAACCATGACGAAGACTTTTCCTTCAACAACTCTTTCTTTTTACAGCTTTGTTTGTTATTTAAGCGCGACCTGCTGCTTTTGAGACAAGCATGCAAGGTCCTCAAACTTTTAGATAATTGAACAAAATCTCCTTGCATTGTGCTGGATTCTTGGTGCTTTCCTACATACGTGTATTGAGATTCCTGCACAGCAATCAGTGGAAGGGATTGTGTGGTTCCAATACAATAAATATATATAAAGAGTAGAGTATAATAAATCCCTCGATTAAATATTGACCAGGTAGGCAAACATAAAGCAGACTGCCTTGGCAATTGCTTTGTGATCCGGGCTGTGACGTTTGCCTGTCCCTGGCAGTCAACAGACATCAGGGGGTTCCTGAAGGTGCTGAGGGTCTAGCAAGGGGTTTCATTGAGCTCCTGGGGGAAGCGGGAGGCAACCCAGCTGCTTCAAATAAAACATGCGAAGAACAGTTGCAGGCACTCGGTATGTCTAGTCTAATGAAAAGAAGGACCAGGGTTGGCCTGATAGCAGCGTTCCAGTATCTGAGGGGCTGCCCCAAAGCAGAGGGGAGGGTCCAATTATTCTCCAAAGCACCTGAGTGGAGGACAAGAAGCAACGGATGGAAACTAATCAAGGAGAGAACCAACCCAGGAGAAATTTCCTGACAGTGAAAGCAATCAACCAGTGGAACAGCTTGCCTCCAGAAGTTGTGGGTGCTCCATCACAAGAGGTTTTTAACAAGAGACTGGACAGGCATTTGTTTGAAATGGTTTAGGGTCTCCTGCTTGGACAACGGATTGGATTAGAAGACCTTCAGGGTCCCTTCAAACTTTGTTATTCTTCTATGGAGGGCATATTTCAAACCAAACTCAGAAACAAAACAATTGCTCAAAGCAAGTTTATTTGAGAGTCAAGATTTATGTAATTATCAATTATCCTTGTTTCTGCTCCTTGCCACACACCTGGATCCCACAGACTTCCACCTCACACAATTCTCTCCCTGATTAGTTTCCACCCATTGCTTCTTCTCCTGCCTTCTGGTGCTTTGGACTTATGTTATAAGAGGGATGTAAGATGGAGGACAAGAGAAGGGGACGACAGAGAAGGAGGTGGCTGGATGGAGTCACCGAAGCAGCAGACATGAGCTTAAATGGACTCCAGAAGATGGTAGAGGACAGGAAGGCCTGGAGGAACGTTGTCCATGGGGTCGCGATGGGTCAGACACGACTTCGCAACTAACAACAAATAAGAGGGATTGATCTAAGGCTGCAACACCAAACGGATCTTGAAGACGTAGATGTTGCCCTCTCCTTTGTGGTCTGCTCCTCTTGGTCTTTGTGTCTTAGAAAGCAATCCCAGAAACAAAACAATTGCTCAGAGTAGGTTTATTTAAGAGAATCAAGGTTGACTGAATTATCCATTATCCTTGTCCCGGTCCTGACACACAAGTCTTCTGGCTACACACCCTGGTCCTGTAGACTTCCAGTGCCAGGGATACTGTGCGGCCAGGAATGGTGACGGTGACATAATCCCACACGACTGTCGCAGGAGATGGTGCTGATGGAGCCCAGACGGGTGTCGGTGATTCTCCCACAGCTGTTGGAAGAGAAAAAGAGAAGACCCTCTCCCATGGTTTGTCGTGGTTCAAAAGGAGCAAATCAGAAGAGGAGTTGATGCATTCCTACAAACGGTAATATATAGTTTGAGAATGTCTTCTTAGGACATTTCAAGGCACCTGGGTTGATCTCATAGCAGCCACAGCAGAAGCATTTCCATGGTTAAGCTTTCTCGGATATCGAACTATAACGTCTATCCCATTGCAAGACAATGGCACCATATTATGGTGATTTTATTATGGTTTTATCTTAATTCAATATTTTATCTCCTAGATTTTATCACCCTCATTCTCTCTCTCTTTCTCCCTCTCTCTTTCTCATCCATCCATATCTATCTATCTATCTATCTATCTATCTATCTATCTATCTATCTATCTATCTATCTATCTATCCATCTTTGCTGATGCTTCATATTTGTATATCATGATTGCATGACCTCTGTAGATGCCATATGCTGAACAAAATTTAAAAATGCATTCTTAAAAAAAGGATACAGAAACAATTTAGCCTCTCCCCACCCCAAATCCAAGTGCTGGTCCCATCTGCAATGTTTTGGGTGCTACCAAATTGACGTCCTTTCCCCTAGCCAATTCGTCTCCTGATTAACAGGAGTGGGCAAAGAGGAACGTACAGAAGATTGGAGAGTCCACAGTTGGGCATGCAGCCTGCCATGCGGATCTCTGCTCCCCGAAGCCTTTCTCCACAGCAGTCTGTCTGGGTTTTCACCACCACGGAAGAAATAGAATACTGGCTACCCAGGTCCACGTACCACCAGGGCCCCCTTTCTCGCTTTGTGTGGGTGCAGGTGTTCTGCCCAATCCAGTGTCTGCTGCAGTTCCCATCCACGGCTTTGCTTGCAACTGAATTGAACTGGCTTGGAAAGGTGGAAGATTGGAAAGCTGGACACCCTCTGGCCACATTTGTAGCTAGGAGGAAGTTTGGGAGAAGAAAGGCATGTCAGAATTTGTTCTCGATTGACCTTTCTTCTCTGGATTTGCACACAAACATCCCGGAGGAAACATAAAGTCCCTGGGACAACTTTCAACTCTCCTGAAGGGTTGCTACTTGCTGGAGACCAGTTTGGAAGAGCACAAGGGAGGGAAACACAGATGACCCTCTGGACTTTCCTGTGTGCCTGACCAGGAAGTGGCTGTCCAGAATGAGTGGGCAGAAGTAGTCTGGAGAGCTATTCACGGATGTCAAATATTATATTAGTTTATCAAAATATAAAATACAGGAATATAAAGAAAATTGAAGGCAATGGGAAAATAAGGGAGTGTGGGAATGACAGCCTCAGGAAATGAAGAACAAAGAGAGCAGCTCAACAAGAAAACTTTTAATTGGTCAGAAGTGACATAGCATGTGGTTCTGGGACAGCTGATAGCTTGGTTTGGTGAATACAAGGATTTTTACAGCATTTCGTAATTGGAGCTTGCTTTTGTTCTTAGATTTATTTAGCCTGTTTTGCAAAGGCTAGCAATGGGTCTAAAATGCTGGCTTCCTTGAGTTTTAATCCTGTCAAAGGCTGGCAATGGGTCTAAAATACTGGAATACTGCTATCATGTCCCCCCCCCAGTCCTTTCTCTACAGTAACCAAGATATAACCAATGTTCTATGTTCTTTTCTATTTTTTCTTGTCTACACTTTCTAATTGTTATATATATATATATATATATATATATTCAATGATGCAATCTTCGATCTCCGGGAAGAGTATACTCCAGTTATTTATTGTTAAAACAACATTTAAAACAATAAAAACAGTTATATACAAGAATTAAAACAACTTAGCTTTCGCTGGTCCTCTGCCAGCGTCCTCAGAGTGGGACTTAGGGGGTGGGAAGTTCTTTTTATCCCCTTACTGATCCAATTGCCTACTCATTGCCCTCGTGACAGGGCCACTCTTCCTGATTGCCTGTGACTGCCTTGCCTGTTCCGCCCTCTCTTTTTTGCACTCATATATATATATTAGTTTGCTTGACTTTTTAATCCCTTTAATTTGTAATGTTTAATGAAAGCCACCAAGGAAGGCAAGAGCGGTGCTCTCCTTTCCCCTTCAGTAACTGGAGCTGGCCAAACTCCACCCAAGGGAAGACTTGAGTTCTCCCCTGTCCGCAGCGCTTACTGATGCCTATCAGGTCCGGTCTGCAGCTCTGGGCCTCCCCCTGCCCCAGAACAGGCAGTCACATCCAGGTGAGAAGCATCGTCCTGCGAGGGGAAAAAGCAGAGGGCAGTGAGAAGGAGCACAGTATGCTGGAGCCCCAGGCCTGGGGTCCTGCTCAGCCACAGACCTCTGCAGGTCCCCTCCTGGGAGAGGCTGGGAGGGCCTTGGGGATCAAGACCTGCCTTGCCAGAAGCTGGCAGCCCTCCCAGTGGGGTAAAGGGCCTTCCCAGAGGAAGCAGACCAGGCCAGCAGAGGAGAACAGGTGTTTCAAAGTGGGACATTCTGAGAAGTAGCAAACGTAACATGTGGTCAAGTGAAGAAGTGAAAAAGAGAAGCAAAGTTGGGAAGACGGCCGGATTCCAAAGAACATAAAAGCACTTTGGGGTGCTCTCTAGGCTTGGCTATTTTTTTTTTTTTGCAGACCCAAACTAGGCAATTTCACTAACACTGATCACTTACACTAACACTGGTGATGTTACTTAATTTGGGTAATGAAATCAGTTTGGGTCATCTAGTTCAGGGGTCCCCTAATTTGGCAACTTTAAGACTTGTGGACTTCAGCTCCCAGAATCCCCCAGCCAGTATGGCTGGCTGAGCAATTCTGGGAGTTGAAGTCCACAAGTCTTAAAGTTGCAAGGTTGGAACCCATGGATTACAGCAAACTTAGAGGAAGTGGTTGAGGTTGACAGAAGAATTAACCAGTAGAACGACCTGCCTCCAGAAGCGGTGAATGCTCCAACACTGGAAGTTTTTAAGAAGAGACTGGACAGCCATTTGTCCGAAATGGTATAGGGTCTCCTGCCTGAGCAGGGGGTTGGACTAGATGACCTCCAAGGTCCCTTCCAACATTATTATTATTATTATTATTATTATTATTATTATTATTATTATTATTATTATTATTATTATTATTGATCATCGCATAGTCAACCAGATGTTCAGACTGGATTTGGCATTTTGTCTACATATCGAGTCCTTACCCAGGACCTGGGATAGGCAGATGTGGATGTTTGATGGTATTACAGATATCGTTGCAGGATGGAAGCAGTTCCTAGTAAGGCCACCTTTTGCAATTGACTGATGGCGAATTTGTCAACGCCGAGGGTGTTCAAGTGGTGCTCCAGTTGTTTTGGGATTGCACCCAAGGAGCCTATTACTATTGGTGCTACCCTTGCTTGCTTTTGCCACAGTCTTTCTATTTCTATTTGTAGGTCTTTGTGTTTTGTTATCTTCTCCAGTTCTTTCTTGTCTAGTCTGCTGTCTCCAGGCACTGCCACGTCCACTATCCAGACTTTTTTGTCTTTCTTATCGACAATTGTTAAGTCTGGGGTGTTATGTTGCAGGTGCTTGTCTGTTTGAATTCTGAAGTCCCAGAGCAGTTTAATTTTATCATTTTCTATGACTTTCTCTATTTATGATCCCACCAGTTTTTGCTTACAGGCAAATGATATTTTTTGCAGATCTTCCAATGCGCCATTGTTGCTACTTTGTCATGCCGCTGCTTGTAGTCAGTCTGTGCAATCTTCTTGCAACAGCTTACCAGGTGGTCCACTGTTTCTTCAGCTTCTTTGCATAGGCGGCACTTACTGTCTGTTGCTGTCTTCTCAATTTTGACTTTGTATGCATTTGTTCTTAAGGCTTGGTCTTGTGCAACCAGAATTAGTCCCTCGGTCATCATCATCATCATCATCATCATCATCACCACCATTATTATTATTATTATTATTATTATTATTAATTCTGGGAGTTGAAATCCACAAGTCTTCAAGTTACTAAGGTTGGAGACCCTGATCCAGTTGACGTTCATGCCTGTGGCAGGATAAGAATTCATGGCCTTCTACCTACTCAGGCATGGCCATAATCCTGTATCAAACTGCCACCTAAGCGTAATTGGGTCTAAGCATACACAAGCACACTCAACACTCTTCAAACGTTTTGTATGTCAACTCCCAACCAGATGAAAAGCATTTTGTAAATAGGTCCATCCAGGTGGGGATCCCCCCTTGAAAGTAGAGAAGGCAGCTGGTCCTGGTCTTAGGCATTTGCTTTGTTTAACTCACCTGGGGTCTCTCACTTGGCCCACGAAATGTGGGTGAATTTCACAGCTGCTCCTCTTCAAACTGCGATTTCTCCAAAATATTGAGATTCAGCTGTACTGGACAGTTTTAACTTCTTTCCTAATGGGGTGGTTCCTCCTTCAGAGAACTCAGCTAACCAATGGGAAGTGCAGAGCTTCTGCCGGAGACCAATCAAGACCAGATTTCAAATCTTGGTGGCTTCCTCTTTGTTTCTGGGTGCTGACAACCCACATTCTACTGTATGTCACTTCCTCTTTCCACGTGTTAAGTGACTCGCTTCTGGACAGGTACATAATAGCCTTCCTTGGCAGATGCCAACTGGTTTCGACATCAGAACATCATCATTGTCCGTGGGCAAACAACAATATGAATCTTGTTTTTGCAAGACTCAACCATGCTCACTCCTTCAAAGTCAATACTCATCAAATTTGCAGACCGCACCAAGCTGGCAGGAATAGCCAACACTCCAGAAGACAGCCTTAAGATACAGGAGGATCTGGACAGATTTGAACATTGGGTGCTATCTAACAAAATGAAATTCAATGGAGAAAAAAAGTAAAGTTCTACATTTAGGCAAGAAAAACCTAATACACAGGTATAGCCTATGTGGTACCTGGCTCAATAGTAGTAACTGTGAGAGGGATCCTGGAGTTCAAGTGGAAAATCCTTTAAATATGAGCCAGCCATGTGCTGCAGCTGCCAAAAAAACCAACACAGTGCTGGGCTGCATTAACAGAGGGATAGAATCAAGATTAGGTGAAGTGTTAATACCACTTTACAATGCTTTGGAAAGGCCCCACTTGGAATACGGCATCCAGTTTTGGTCACCACGATGTAAAAAAGATGCTGAGACTCTAGAAAGAGTACAGAGAAGAGCAACAAAGATGATCAGGGGACTGGAGGCTAAAACATATAAGTAACGGTTGATGGAATTGGGTATGTCTAGTTTAATGAAGAGAAGGACGAGGGGGGGACAGGATAGCAATCTTCCAGTATCTCAGAGGCTGCCCCAAAGAAGAGGGAGTCAAGCTATTCTCCAAAGCACCTGAAGGCAGGACAAGAAGCAACAGATGGAAACTGATCAAGGAGAGAAGCAACCTGGAACTTCCTGACAGTGAGAACAATTAACCAGTGGAACCACCTGCCTCCAAAAGCGGTGAATGCTGCAACACTGAAAGTTTTTAAGAAGAGACTGGACAGCCATTTGTCCGAAATGGGATAGGGTTTCCTGCCTGAGCAGGGGGCTGGACTAGAAGACCTCAAAAGGTCCCTTCCAACTCTGTTTTTCTGAAATGACTGTTCCTGGGCAGCCTCTCAGGAGATGGGCAGAAGTGATTCCCAGAGCATCAGTGGAGGAAGGGGGAAGTTCCTGCAGCTCTGTTTCATGGTATCAGCAGGTTGCTCTCCCTTGTCCAGGTTTAAGGTCATGTTTCAGGGGAGGCAAGGTAGGAAAAGCTGATTATTTGATCAGGATAAGTTTCAAGCAAAGCTTAGTTAGGTACATACATGCTGTGTTAATTGTTTATTTAGCATCCTTTTCAGGACAGACTCAAGGAAGTATGGAAGGAAATGCAAAGTACACAAAGCCTTGCTCTGCTTGTTCTAGAGAATGGCATGGAGGGGGGGGGCAGAGGGACAAATACGCAGGGAAGATTTTTTTAACAAAAAACTGGCAATGTTGAAGCTGAAAGGTAAAAGTCCAGGTGTATTCTGAAAAGGCCTGGCAGATTCTCAAACTGGCTGTTTCTGTCTGTGAATAAATGGTCTGGTCTTATCCCAGTCATGAACTTTGGTGGTTGCCTACAGAATGGTGGCTGTGGTGGGGTCTGGCTTAGTAAATATGAATTACTATAGTATTATTTATCCTTGTATTACCTCTAAGTTCCCCCTTTTACAGGTTGCACACATTATTATTATTTTCTCTGTAGTCTTGCAAGTGTAGTGAGTGTTTCTCTACCCAAGATAAATTCCTTGTGTGTCTAATCACACTTGGCCAAATAAATATTCTATTCTATTCTATTCTATTCTATTCTATTCTATTCTATTCTATTCTATTCTATTCTATTCTATTCTATTCTATTCTATTCTATTCCATTCTATTCCATTCCATTCTATTCTATTCTATTCTATTCTATTCCATATTTTCTATTCTATTCTATTCTATTCTATTCTAATTCTTATTTCTATTCTATTCTATTCTAATTCTTATTTCTATTATATTCTATTCCATATTTTCTATTCTATTCTATTCTATTCTAATTCTTATTTCTATTCTATTCCATATTTTCTATTCTATTCTATTCTATTCTGTTCTGTTCTATTCTATTCTAATTCTTATTTCTATTCTATTCTATTCTATTCTATTCTATTCTATTCTATTCTATTCTATTCTATACATGATAAGATAAGATAAGAAGATAAGATAAGATAAGATAACCTTTATTGTCATTTTTTTACTGTGGGCACAACGGCACACATCAAAAATGAAATTTAGTTGCCCACTCTCAAAATGAAACACATACATGACACATACCTAAACATACTATGAACAACGTATGTATAGACCCACATCCCTACATATACATAGCAAATAAATATTAAATACTGTCCATCTTGAATATATAACGGAAGGAGGAAGCTTGAGAGTTCGCAAGGTTGATGCTGTATGGAATGAAACTCTGGCTGAATCTGGATGTTCTGCTACGGATACCACGAAGCCTCCCCAGAAGGGAAGACAGGTCATGGAGAGGATGTGTCGTGTCCCAGATAATCTTACGGACCCTGCTGAAGCTTCTGTGCCATGTCCTGGATGGGAGGGAGGGAACTGCCAAGGATCTTTTCAGCCATTCTCACCACTCTCTGCACCGCCTTCCTGTCTGAAGCATTTATTCTATTCTGTTCTGTTCTGTTCTGTTCTATTCTATTCTATTCTATTCTCTATTCTATTCTATTCTATTCTATTCTATTCTATTCTATTCTATTCTATTCTATTCTATTCTACTCTATTCTATTCCCCCTCCCATCCCATTTTCTGTAGAATATAGAATTCTATCTAGCAGTGTTCCAATACTTGAGGGGGCTGCCACAAAGAAGAGGGAGACAACCTGTTTTCCAAAGCAGTTGGGTGTATCTAGTCTCTAGTCTAATGAGCAGAAGGACCAGGGGTGACATGATAGCAGCGTTCCAGTATTTGAGGGGCTACCACAAAGAAGAGGGGGTCCAATCTATTCTCCAAAGCACCAAAGGGCAGGACAAGAAACAATGGATGGAAACTGACCAAAGAGAGAAGCAACCTGGAACTGAGGAGAAACCTCCTGACAGTGAGGACAATCAACCAGTGGACAGCCTGCCTCCAGAAGTTGTGGGTGCTCCATCACTGGAGGTTTTTAAGAAGAGACTGGACAGTCACTTGTCTGAAATGCTACAGGGTTCCTTGCTTGAGAAGGGGGTTGGACTAGAAGACCTTCAAGGTCCCTTCCAGTCTGTTCTTCTGTCAAGAGCAAGCAACCAGAACTATTTGTGAGGAGTCTCAAAGAGGTTTATTAGGGGCCCCTCCAGCTCTCTCAGCTTGGCTCTTTTTATGCAGACGTTTCACCGCCCAAACTAGGTAACATCATCAGTTATGTTGCAAGTCACCTATTGTACAAGAATCTCACCAGACTGACTGCGAGGCTCCAGGGATTCTGGAGGAGGTCAGGCCTGTGGTGCTTTCTGCAGTGCAAATATTCCAAGTTTGGGCCCCTCTTTACCCCCCCCTCCAGTCTAGCTGGAGAGTCCAACACATCCCCCCCCCTTTTTTTGCTGCTCATACTCTGATTTTTAGTCCGTTGCAACAGCTGTGGTTCCTTGTGCTCCTCAACAACATTTCCAGTGACTCTTCACAGCTGAAGAGGGGTTTGGCCAGAGAGCTGACCAACCAGTATAGGAGGTCAGGTGGTCCTGGGGGGCGAGAGGGAAGGGAGTCTGGGTCGTGGGCTCCTCATGATGACCCAGTGGGGTTGGTGGTGCCCGCTAAGTAAATCCTCTCCGATAGGATTAAATGTTGACCAAGCTCCATTCATAAATCGGCAGAAATGTGGACCTAGGAAGTGTTAGCCAATGTCTCCCTCTTCTGCTGGGCCGCATAGAGCAGGGGTCTCCAACCTTGGCAACTTTAAGACTTGTGGACTTCAACTCCCAGAATTCCTTAGCCAGCTATGCTAGCTGAGGAATTCTGGGAGTTGAAGTCCATAAGTCTTCAAAGTTGCCAAGGTTGGAGACCCCTGGCATAGAGTGCTCAAGTCAAGAACACCAGTAGCATGGATCCTCCACTAGGGGGGAAGCAGATGCCTTTGTTGGTGGGGAGATGGGAGTGCCTTCTGGTCTTGGGAACCCCTTGATGTGGTTCCGGCTAATGAAACATTCCAAAGAACTTCCAGGCATTGATTTTCCTAAAAGTCTTTTATTGTTACAAAAGGTTGGCACAGGTACAACGGAGGGATGCTGGGATCTAAGTCAGTGGTTCTCAACCTTTTTAATGCCGCGACCCCCAACCAGTCGTAAGTCGAGGACTACTCAACCGGTCGTAAGTCGAGGACTACTCAACTGGTGCAGCATCGTTTGCAGAATGGGACTTTTGGCGTGCTCAGCAGGGCAGAGACAGCCTGGACAATTCCTATTGGCTTTTGAAAGCCAATAGAATTAGACTCTATTCAAGAGAGTCTATTCTACTGGCTTTCAAAAGCCAATAGAATAAAAGGGAGTAGCACAGCTAAGGAAAAGGGGGGAAAAATGTCAGACGTTGTTTGGCGACCCCCGTGAAATGGTCGTTCGAACCCAAATGGGGTCCTGACCCACAGGTTGAGAACCACTGATCTAAGTTCTCTTCCTCTGAGCAGTTAAATTATCAGCATGTTCCCTCCCTAAATTAGCCTCATATCTCACATTATCCAATTAGTGTGAAGGTCAAATGTTTTCTTCCTCTTTCTTTTCTGGGCTTTACCCCCAACGCCCCTTCTGCTCTTTATTAACCCCATCATTACCAGACAATTCTGCACATTGTGAAAAGCAAGAAGATACAATATTTGCAGCGTTGACACCCCTCTTGCATAGAAAGAACCACAGAGAAGCTGATGTATGAAGGCACCTGCTCAGTATTTACCTGAGCAGGTTATGCCAATGTTGAGCTTTGTTGACTCCAGTGAAATCAAGAGCCACAGAATCTGGGGCCCCTCACAAAATGTGAGAATTACAAACTGAGGAGGAGGGGAATCCCCGTAGTTTACCTGGTGAGCATTCCAGAAGTGTCTCCTGCTTCCCAACCCCACTCCTTGGTCCAAGAGAGGAGACAGAGCCACCTAGATTGTTGGCTTGTTGATTGGATTTACATCCCAATTGTCCCCCAGAGGTCAAGGGGGTTCACGGGGAAATCTCCGTTCATTGTGGGTAAAAGGAAAGGATCCTACAGGTATATTGGGCCAGGAGGCAAGGAGAATGGCTCAAAACGATGCTGAATTTTCACAGATGAGGATAGATGTGCTCTCAAATCAGTGCTTGAATTGCTCTACACAGCACTAGCTGGTCCCTACGGAAGGTAGGATGCAGGATATGGTACCCATAGAAGAGAATCTCTTTAGCTTTGTGGGGTCCTGGGTGCTCTCTGAGCTTGGCGGTTTCTTTGCAGATGTTTCGTTACCCAGCCCTGTGACATCGTGGTGTTTGTCTGCACGGAGACAATCAAGCTGAGAGAGCACCAAGGACTCCACTTCCAGTACAGTTGAGGCTGCTGGACTAACTCAGTGGCAAAGCTCCTTTGTAAAAAAGGAAGGATCCCCACACCTGACCCCGGTTCCAGGTGGCACCAGACATGCCGCTGTTCTGTCCAGGTGATACAGGTGTTTTTCCACACTCAGAGACCTTTGAGCTTCTTGATCAAGTTCACCTTTGAGGCAATTCTCTCTGAAGCTCTATCTATGGTATGCACAGTCCATCTTCCTTTAAATTCTCCAGGAGAGTGATACAGAGGTTGGGTTACGTCCTGCCTCTGTGTTAGGGGGCTTATGTGACACCCTCTCTGTTTTTGCACAGTGTGTGTCCTGGGTAGTAGTTTTGATTTCCTTTATCACCAGGAGAAGCTGAATGATACATACCATTCTGAAGGAAGTACGATACACACCTTCCTGTAACATCACTGAGCACCAGGATCTCAGTAGCTTTTAAAGCTAATATTCTGTCTATAAAGGAGTCTTGTTAAGTGTGAAGGTCGGTGAGTCAGTCCATGCATCCATGCATCCATCCCTCCATCCATCCTTATATCCGTCCATCCATCCACCCACCCATCCATCCCTCCATCCCTCCATGCATCCATCCCTCCATGCATCCCTCCCTCGCTCCCTCCTTCTCTCCATCCATCCATCCATCCATCCATCCATCCATCCATCCATCCTTCTACAGATACACACAATCATCTTCTTAAATGCAAAAGTCTGTAAGTTCAGTTCTCAGCAGAGGTTGGAACCTCAACAAATAACATCTGGCTCTCCATCTCTGAAGAGTCCCCAAAAGGACAGACAGGTTACACAGGGCCTCCTGGGGATCAGTAGATCAGGTGATCTCAAAAGTGGGTATATGTGCATGGGGGAGTGATGGAGATCAGGGAATGGATCCCCCGAACAGACACAAAGGCCTCCCTTTTAACCAAAGAATGACCAGAGGAAACCCAGTTATGCGTCTTAAGGGCCCCTTTATTTGGATTTCTTTGGAGAGCAATTCGTATTTTGCAGGAGATCTGGTCTCCCCCAATACAAGGCAGGACTTCTCTACTGAGTGCCATAGACCTCCACTTCACAGATGGTCAAGTAGCCCTCCCTGGGTAAGTGGACACTGACGTAGCGGCCTCGCTGCCCGTTGCAGTAGATGGTGGTGATGGAGCCTGGGCTGGTGTTCAGGATAATCCCGCAGCTGTGGGGCAAGAGAGGTCACGTTAGGAGAGCAGCCCTCCTGGCCCCCACCTATCGGTCACCCCACACTCACCCTGAGAACACAGCCTCCCCCCCTTGAAGCCCAGCCCCCTTCGATCAGTAAACCAGACCTCCCGTCCTCTGCTCCCCTGGATGCTGGGCCTCCATTTTGCCTCTACTGTTCCATTAACTGTAAATATTAACCTAGTCCAGGAGTAGGCATCCTCGGCTCTTTTATGACTCATGGACTTCAACTACCAGAATTCCCTCTGACTCAGGAATTCTGGGAGTTGAAGTTCATGAGTTGTAAAAGAGCTGAGGTTGCCTACCCCTGACCTAGTCGGAGTCGGACAAACTATAGGAGGAAGAAATGTTTTTTTTTAAAAAAACTTTGTCTTCTCAAGGTCATCATCTTGACTTTTGGGATCAAGCTCTGAAGAATGCTACTTTCAAGCATGAGAAATAAGGAAGTCCAGGCAGTTATACAGGTTTGTTGCAAGCATAATCTCTCTAGAAGAATCTGAACTACTAATGGTGAAAGCAAATTGGCGATAGATAAAAGTCTAGGTAATTCAAGGAGGGCTGGAATTGGATCTCTGGTGGGCGCGAAGGGACTCCAGACTGATGACGCCTTTGGCCCCTCCCTCCCTCCCTCTGGCTCAGCCTGCTCATCTCCTACAGTTACGGTCTTTTTTTTTTTTTTTTTTTGATCCTGCTTCTGAAGAATGCTACAGTCTTTATCAAGGGCTGCATGAATTTCTCCAACCTGGTTTTGTCCCTGGCCTGGATGGCTATCTTGGCCAGATCCGTCCATTGGAAATGGGCAGCCAATCAATTCAAATAAAGACAGAAATAAAATCACAGATCCAATGAGAGAAGGGAAACCTGAGCAATTTATTCACCCATAACTTTTGCTCCCTTACACAACAGTTTCTCTAAATCAGTGGTTCTCGACCTTTCTAATGCCGTGACCCCATAATACAGTTCCCCATGTTGTGGTGACCCCCGAGTGGGTGTGGCCACCAATAAGAGGGAGTAGGACAGCTAGGGAAAAGGGAAAAAATGGCGGACAGCATGGTTTGGCGACCCCCGTGAAATGGTCATTCGACCCCAAATGGGGTCCTGACCCACAGGTTGAGAACCACTGCTCTAAATGCATAAAATGAGCGGCTCCACCTGTGTTTCCCATTGTCTTCTCCTAATTTATTGTTTTCATTCCCCAAACACTTTGGAAGCCAAAAAAGAGAACATCTCTTTTGAGGTGAAGCGACCAGAACAAAATCCAAGCACAGGAACCTGCTTTTCCATCACAGCCACATGGCCTCGTTTCATGCCCTTAACCCAGTTCTGAAGGAACCCATGTTCTCAATTTGGAACAGAAATGACAGGAAAAATTAACAATCAGGTGGCATTCACACAGTCCCCCAAACTAACTGAGACCACAACTTAACCACAACTTATCAGATCAGGTCTTTCCTGAGAGAGCAAGGAGAGAGGTGATCTCACAATCTCTCCACAATGGAGTCATGACATCTTGGCACCTCATACCTAACAACACCCCAAAATCATCCACACTGGTTGTGGATTCTGTGTGTGGGATGCCACAAACACCTGGAGGATCCCAGTTGGGGATGAATGATTCAAAGCAACTTACCGTGGGTTCGATCTTCCATGGTTCTCCAGAGAGTCTCCTAGGTGGACCTCAGCTTCAAAGAGTCTTTCGCCACAGCAGTCCTCGCGGTTTCTCACCACCACTGCGTAGATTTTATGAGATTCTCCCAGGTCCACATACCACCCGGGGTTTCTCTCCAGGTTGGTGTGGGAGCAGGAGGCGTGGCTCCAGGTCCCGTTGCAGTCCCCATCCACAGCTTTGTCCGGTGATCCAATGCTCTCGTAGGGAAAGTTGGAAGTCTGGTAGGCTGGCTTTCCTAAGGCCAAGTTCTTTGCCCCTCTGTCTGCAGGAGAGAATGGAGGAGATCCTTCAAGCAGAAGGTGGTGAGGAGGAGAAGAAGAAGGAGAAGGAGAAGAAGAAGGAGGAGGAGGAGGAGGAGGAGGAGGAGGAGGAGGAGGAGGAGGAGGAGGAGGAGGAGGAGGAGGAGGAGGAGGAGGAGGAGGAGGAGGAGGAGGAGGAGGAGGAGGAGGAGAGGTGCAAAGCCAAGAGGGCAACATTTTGGTGACGCAAGGAATGAATTTTGAAGACTGGGAAATGGGTTGAAAGAAGTGAGCTGAGCACAATGCTACGTTCCTCTGCTATCGTTGGAAGAACTCCCCTCAGCCTCCTCTTCCTCTCTCCCTCCCCAGTTGGCAGCAAATTGGCAAGAGAAGAACTGGGTGTCACCCTAGTAGATTCAATGAGGTCTATATCAAGTGGCCATTTACCACCTGATCTTGCTGCACTGGAGGCCATGTGGGCGATGGGTCCGTAGCCACTGGACAGACTAGGGAGAGCAAATATCCAGTTGCCCTGCTTACATCACTCCCCCCCCCCAGTTCATATTCTATTGGTTTGGTCCTCTGCAAGTGTCTCCAGGGGACTCCCAGATGTTCTGAAGCGTAGGAGTATGGGTTAGAAAAACAAAGAACACCCATCAAGGAGAACAAAATGCCCAACTGCCCATTTGGTTGGGAAATATACAAGTTGAAGTCCCTGATCCCAAGGACACCCCACAATGGCTGTGCAACAGACCACTGAAGTTCAGGGATCTCGTGGTCCTTTGAGCAACCAACTATGGTATGTGTTGGTATCTGAAGGAGCTACAAGACTAAGAGGAGAGATTGGCGGAGGATTACTGGATGTTGAGATGGCCAGGACTACACCTTTATCCACACACACACATGCAACACACAAAGATCTTTAGGTGGCTCTTACTTCCAGGTGGAGGCCTGCAACTCTGACCTGCTGCAGGGCCAGCCAAGAAGGTCACAGCCAGCAGACACTCCCAGACGAAGAACATCATCCTGCAAACAAGGAAGGGAGAGATCAGGAAAAAGCATGGTAATAGCTCCTAGGGACGATGAGGAACTGGCTTCCCTCTACTCAACACTCCTGAACTTCAGGATTGGCCATGGACCCAAAGGAGGGTTGGAGGTATTTTCAAGGTTCTGCCATTCTCCCAGAGGACCTTCAAGAGCGTTCCTGAAATTGCTCCTCTGACTGTGTCCTCACCTGGCCTTTCCCACACGCTGACACCAATCCCATTGAAAAATTCAAGGGGGGGTTTATCAAACATTTTTAGAGAATGTTTGTTGTGAGTATGTGTATGTATGCAGATGAATGGTTGCTATAAATTTTAATATTGTATTTAAGGGCGTATGAATGTGAATTATTTTTTATGTACATTAATTGAATGTGAATGTGTATTGAGTGTCTGTAGTAGGAGAGTGGTAGAGTCGGGGGCGGAGCCTGGTGCCCCCTCTGCTGAGTGCAATAGCAAAAGCGGGGGGGGGGCAGGACTTACCCTCGGGCTTGGTGTGCATGGAATGCTAGTCCGGTCGGGAAGGGAGAAGGTTGGTGAGGGTGGGGGTACTCCGGGGATGGGAGATTCGAACTACTCCCACCTTGCCGGCCTTCAAGAAGAGCCGAGGTGGCACAGCAGTTAGAGTGCAGTACTGCAGGCCACTTTAGCTGACTGTGTTCAGCAGGTCAGCGGTTCAAATCTCACCGGCTTAAGGTTGACTCAGCCTTGCATCCTTCCGGGGTAGGTAAAATGAGGACCCAGATTGTCGGGGGCAATGTAAATAGATATATACATTGCTTACTGGTGTACACCGCTTAGAGAGTGCTTGCACTTAAAGCGGTATATAAGTCTCATAAATAAACAAATAAATTAAAACTCTCCTGTTCCGGCAGGCCTGGGGTTGATGTCCCCGGGGGGGCCGGGACACGATTGGGACCTGTTGTATGAATGCACTCATTTTTATTGTTATATTTATTGTTTTAATTTTGTACGCCGCCCTGAGTCCCTACGGATGGGGCGGCATGTAAATTTTATTAATAAAATAAATAAATAAGTAAATCAATCCGTGTCTCTTTCTCATCAGCCCACTTTCCCATTTCACCTACCCCTCCTTCAACAGGTCACTCAGCGGCTAGCCTTTCCTTCTTTCCCTGCTACTCACCTTCTTCAATCTCTTGGGGATGACCAAAGGGCTGGTTGTCCTTCCTGGAAGGTGAACAACCACAGCTTCTTTCCACCAACAGGTGTGCTAGAGGACCTCCGTCTGGCCAGCTCTGGTTTTATCCCCCTTCCTCTCAGGTAGGACTAACCTGGCTCAGGATGTCCAAGCCAATCAGAAGGAGGCCAGACCAGAAGCTGACCTGGGTCCCCACTCAGGTGGAGCTTTAAGTTTGCTTTGTTACAAGATCCATCACCAACCTAGCAAACATGGTCTTCTCTTATGTATTTTATTGACTTTCTCCCATAGCAAAAAAACCACACACAGCTTTTTAGCAGGAAGGCCTGCATTCCCATACAACACATGACAAGCCCTCAGCAAACATTAAAGTCAGCACTGAATTTCACATTACAGCATCTTATCCAAGGAATGGGGTCGCCTGCTCTGCTTTACAAGCATACCAAAAGCAAGGGTTGTTTTTTTTTTTTAAAAAAAAAATCATGGCTGCATCAACTAAGCCAATTATTTACTGATTTTGTTTTCTCCGTAATTATCTTTTCCAACCCCTTGTCTCCATAAATAAATAAAAAATTGGCTACCATCTCTGTTGCAGATCCAAGGTTGAGGAGCAATATTCTCCAACAGGTTCTGGTCTGGAGGAGACCAGACCCTCAAGAATTGTTCCCTTTCCAGAGAGGATCCCTCAAGGTCCTTTGACACCCCCCCAATCATCTGCAGAAGATGCCAGAGCAAGCCACCAACAGTTGCAGAGCTTCAGAGTACCTGGGACAAGCTCTACCCCAGCAATGTCCATGGAAGTGGGGACCCCCATTCTTAGGAGACCAGGGGTGTGGTTCTGGCCTTAGGCATGGTCTCCACAGAATTTTAAAAACTCACCTGGGGTCTGTCACCTGGCCAACCAACTGAGCTTTCACAGCTGCTCTTCTTCAAACTGCCATTTCTGCAAAATATTGAAATTCTTCTGTACCAGATATCTTTCACTCTCTTCCTAGTGGGGTAGCTCTTCCTTCAGAAGATTCAACCAGCCAATGGAAAACAGCAGGGCTTCTGCTGAAGACCAGGGACCTGGTTTCAAATTCCTCACAAGTGGTTGTCCCATTACTCCTGGGTGTCGGCAGTGGGGGGAGAGGGCATGTTACACAACCCACATTCCACTGGATCTCATCTCTTCTTTCCATTTGTTAACCGAGTCTCTTCTGGACAGGAACATTCCTTGGCAGATGCCAACAAATTTCCACATCAGGACATCACCATTGTCTGTGAGTAAACACCAATGTGGATGTTATTTTTGCCAGATGCAACTACGCTCACACCGCCGAAGTCAACGAAATTTGCAATAGCTGAAAGGACCGGATTGCTTCCTCCCAATTCAGTAAATCACTAGGATATAAGAAGAGAATATTTCCAAAATAAAGTTTTTTTAAAAAAGCTTCCTGGCAATAAAGGTGAACAACCCTGAAGTGCCTTATTGAAGGGAATGTTGGGCTCCTGTTCATTGATACATTCGAAAAGTAGCCCAAATGCCATCTTTGGAGGTGACCAAATGAACAGGAGGTTGGACTTGATGGCCTCCAAGGGAGGCTTCCAAAACACCAGGTAAGCAAAGGTCTTCTGCTTTCTGAGGACATGTTGAGACTCTTGGTTTGTACGATGAATGGACTGCTACGTACCTGGACAGGTACTGTGGATGGTGAGAACTTCTCCCACCTCTGATATCTATGCTCTTAGGCAGAAATTACGTGTCCAACTGGGCCATCCTGTTCTATTGAGCTGCCCCGCTATCAGCTGCCTCTACTGCAGTGGTTCTCAACCTTTTTAATGCTGTGACCCCCCAACCGGTCGTAAGTCGAGGACTACTCAACTGGTCGTAAGTCGAGGACTACTCCACTGGTGCAGCACCATTTGCAGAATGGGACTTTTGGCGGGCTCAGCAGGGCAGAGACAGCCTGGACAATTCCTATTGGCTTTGGAAAGCCAATAGAATTAGACTCTATTCAAGAGAGTCTCTTCTATTGGCTTTCAAAAGCCAATAGAATAAAACGGAGTAGCACAGCTAAGGAAAAGGGGGGGAAAATGGTGGACTGCGTTGTTTGCCGACCCCCGTGAAATGGTGGTTCGACCCCAAATGGGGTCCCGACCCACAGGTGGAGAACCACTGCTCTACCGCAAAGAGCCTGCAGGAGAAGGGCGGTGTGAACAACTGTGGGATCCGGCACTGTGAGAGACGTGAACCATAAACACAAAGCTTTTGCTGTGTCCCTGCATAACAGATTGTCAAGAATGGCAGTAAGGACTGTGATGTTGATGCTGTTGTATGCCTTGGCACGAAGGATCTCTCCCCAAAAGATATACTTTCTATGCACAATGATTTCCACAGCTTGGGGCAGGAACTTACCAGGATAGGCTGTAGGATTACTTTTTCAGAGGTTTTACCTGTAAATAAGGAACAAAATGGAAAAGGCCATCGTATAGTGGAGTTCAACACGTGGCTAAAGGAGTGGTGGAAAGGGCAAGGCTTTGGTTATATTAGTCATCATGTCTGCAGCTGGTCAATTAAAAACTGTACAGAGGAGATGGTTTGCACCCATCAAAGGGACTGAGTTACGTGGCATTCAATTCACGGATTTTCTGGAGAAACATTTAAACTAAACAGTGGAGACAGAGAGTTTATTGATGCGGAACATTTCTGTCCTCAGCAATCTAAAACTAACAGGGTTATCAGTGCTTGTAACATTATGTGGGTAAGAATATCAATCTTGCCGTCAAGGAAAATCAAGCTTTTGATAGTCTGTGCCACAGCATGTGCACTAATCAAACAGGTGGTAAGGAAGTAGGGGAACTGAGGTGCAAAACAGATTATGTAGAAAGTAAACACAGGGTCAGTCAAAAAGGACTCCAATGTCTATACACCAACCCACAGAGTATGAGGAATAAACAGGGTAAACTAGAAATTCAAGTGAATGAGGGCAGATATGATATTGTTGCGATTACGGAAACTTGGTGGGATGAAACCCACAAATGGAACAAATAGGACAAACGACAGGTTGTCCTTGACTTACGATCACAATTGAGCCCAAACTTTATATTGCTAAGTGAGAAATTTTTAAAGTGAATTTTGCCCCATTTTACGACTTTTCCTGCCCCATTTGTTAAATGAAACCTTGCAGTTGTTAAATGAGTGACACGGTCGTTAAGTGAACCCGGCTTCCCCCAGTGACTTTGCTCGCCAGAAGGTCGCAAAAGGGGATCGCGTAACTCCGGGACACACTGCGACCTTCGTAAATGTGAGTCCTCTGGCAAGCGTCTCAATTTAATCACGTGACCACGGGGACGCTGCCATGGTCATAAGTGTGAAAAATGGTCATACATCACTTTTGTCAGCCTGGTTGTAACTTCAAACAGCCACTAAGCAAACTGTTCTAAGTCGAGGATTACCTGCATAGGAGTGATTCTGCAGGGAATGGTTTAAAAAAAAAACCCATAGATTGGGGTGATTCCTTTCTCGGGCCATCATCCTGAATTTTTGGACAGATCCAAAAATTGTCCAGGCAGTTCAAAAGATTATACAGGTTTATTGGCAGCTTAATCTCTCTAGAAGAATCTGAACTACTAACGATCAAAGCAAATTGGCGGTAGATAAGAGTCCAGGGAATTCAAGGAGGGCTGGAATTGGATCTGTGGTGGGCGCGAAGGGACTCCAGACTGATGACGCTTTTGGCCCCTCCCTCCCTCCCTTCGGCTCAGCCTGCTCATCTCCTACAGCTACGGTCTTTCTTTTTTCTTTTTGATCCTGCTCTGAAGAATGCTACAGTCTTTATCAAAGGCTGCATGAATTTCTCCAACCTGGTTTTGTCCCTGGCCTGGATGGCTATCTTGGCCAAATCCGTCCATTGGAAATGGGCAGCTAATCAATTCAAATAAAAAATATATAAACAAATATATACATAAAATACCAGATCTGAGCTACAGGTTTATTGCCAGCTTAATCTCTTTAGAAGAATCTGAACTACTAACGGTGAAAGCAAACTGGCAATAGATAAGAGTCT